TGACGCGCAAATTGCATACGCACCCCTTTTTCTACGTCGGCATGCTCAATCCGTATCGGGATCCGTCCCACGTGAATGCTGAGGCGCTCGCGCCGAGCTCATCGGCATTGCCGCAGGACGCATCATTTGTACCAAAAGGTCAAGCTGACCCTCCACTCGGGTTCGGCTCTGCTCCAGCGACTCGAGGCGAATATTCATCATCTGCACAGTCTCGCGGAGATACTTCACCTCCTGAAGTATCTCGGCATGAACTTGTGCCGGTACACCGGCCCCCTCTGGCATTGCTTGAGGGACAGGGGAACCTGCAGCTCCATGTTGAACGTCTGTTGCAGAAACGTCGCCGCCGTGATCAAACCGGTATCTGGTGAAGTGGCGGGGATATCACGAGTCGTGGAACTCATGGGAGTTCGAGGTTCCCCTTCGGCAGGATTTCCCATACGCCGTGGACGTTTTTGAACGTCGTGCGCAGGGCCAACCTGTTGGCGATGACGCTTCTCAACAGTAGTGGTGAGGGTAGGCGGGTTAGCGGCCTCGGCCTTTCGTGAACTCTCGGCTACAGGTGTAGCCGAAACATTGGAGTGCTGGGTAACAGACGCATATTACGTTCGTTAAGACTTCAACTTTCCTTGGGCCTTCAGAACAGCGTAATCGTAACGCATTTTCCGTTCGAGACGAACATCTGCCACGTCGGCACTTGCCCGTAGAGCCCACATGCTACTTAAACGTCGCGCATAGTGCGCCCAGCGGCTAAAAGCCGTATCTTTTTCCTCCTCGGTTTCTCCCGCGAATAAAAGGATGGGAAGACCCTTACGGGAGGAACTGGTGCAACGCGCACTTGCCTAGTGAGGCGTGCCAATTATTGGCTTTGCTTAATGATATGGGGTTCCAGATAACGTTGTCGAAGATCCGTTCACGTAGCGACATCCTCGGGTGAAATGGCCTCAGGCCCGATCGCCCAGCCAGAGAGAGAATGAACCGATGCCTCCATAAGGCGTTCTTCCACTGTAGGTGGTTTGAACTTATATTGTCGGTGGCCCTGAAGCCTAGCCATAGTCTTCGTCCGGCGCTTTGAACCTTTCTCTTGATCAATGGTCTGCTGCTGTTGTTCGTCGAGTGGGTTGGTAACCGTCACCGTTGACAATACATCAGGCGGGTCACGCAACGCTGTTAGCGCATCTGCAGCTTTACGTTCGGAGAACGGATTCGGTGCATGACTACTGTCATCTTCACCCGTAAGGGTGGTTAAAGAGAATCCATCGGGTCCCACAAGACGGTGTAACTTTTGTAATCAACCGCTTCGCCAAGGTCGCCTTCAATGAGGTCCCGTAGAGTCTGTGGCTCATTGCCAGGAGGCGTCATGTGTGCCGTGAACAAACCGTAAGGTTCAGACGTTCGCTAAGGCACTACCTCAAAAGAGGAAAGATGTCGAATGACATTTTGTGGGAACGTCAGTCTGGTGGGGGAGAGTGTAACGGGGTTACACGACGGTTTGAACATCATTCCGAACATTTACGGTTGAAGTTCCCCTTTATTGCATTAATGTATTCTTGATACTTCTCTTTTGAAAGGTATCAAGTATAAGCGTTAAAGATACGGTATTCGGTACTACCGTATCTTATCGATTAGGATTCGATAATCGATAACGCTGTACTAAGTCCATCATACAAAGACGTTTAGACGATACGTCGTCCAATAGCAAAGTCTGCATATTATAATTACTGTTAGAGTAATTAATCTAGTGTAAGGTACTTAGAGTAGGACTATTCCTAACATCTTAATGCATAGATAAAATTAGTTCTCATTTTGAGTTTAAGATCGCAAGTCGTCCTGACTTGTTCTCTTGTGCACTCTGTGTGTTGGTTCATTGCGCGTTCGAGAACTATACAAGAGTTGCGCACTGCACAACTTGTGGAAGATTGGACAATTGACCGGACATTTATCGACAGGCTGCTCTTAAATCGGTATTGTCGTGGCAAGTTTATCCTATCTACCACGATCTTGTATGTTCGCGTGGGGGTTTCTTTATTGCATAAAGTACTGCATTGGCTTTGGGGATGCCAGGTAATATAGGACATCTTAACCAAGCCTCTTGGCCCTACGCAATTTTAAGAAGTTACGGCATATGTTAAATATTGTACCAGTGCCTACGACTACCACACCACAAGACATCAGAGACAACGAAGTGGGATTGTGACAAGGTACAAGATTTCGTGTCCCTGATTCTAGGTGGGACATCGAACAGTAAGTTGAATGATGCTGGGACGCATCGTTACAGTTGACAGTTGAGATATACCTGTTGGTATCTACTGTAGTCTAGTCTAACAGAGGGGATTGTCACCTACGAGGTTTTTTTTCTCCTCAATCCCAAAGTTGCTCAGTGGGAAGCAAGTGTTACGTGTTCTCTTTTCCTTACTCTGTATTGTTCACCCTACAGAACAACGACACTCACCTGCGCAGTGATAAGTGTGACAGGTTATAAGTACATATTAACAAAATCAGTAGTAAAAGTTATATTTAACTATTTTCTAATAAACAAAACTGTAGCGGAGCTGTACAGCTCTTTAGCCAGATTTAAGACTATTCATTTCTCTCGGACACACGTCTTTTTAGAAGCGTATTCTTGCCCGTGCGAGCTTAAATATGTTGAAGCTTTGCTGGTGACGTCCGTCTGTGACGTCATCATGACGCATAGTGCCAGCTGGGCGTTATCCCCGTCGAATGTGAATCCATTAATGGATATCACATGCACGAGCGTGGGTCACGTTAATGTGCCTCACCCAAGTGGGAGGCCACGTACTCTTTTAGACCTCCCGTTAAGTATCAAATACTTAACGGACTCGTGTAACTATTGGCCCGTTACATATATTGCGCTTGGCGGACGCAAAATGTAATAGCCTACTGGAGGCTATACCTTATTGGAGGATAATATATTTGAGGAAGATCTGTAGTATTGCATGCGGTATTTTATTTCTGTACCGGACGTAAGTTATTTTTTACTTACGAATAATTTATATACAAGTACTATTTATCAGTTATTCAGAACATGGTCGTACCTGACTACATAAGTCCACTGTAATTCAATGGTACAATGCTGCCGTCATTCACGTATCGTAGGACGACGCATGACTGTATGCTTCGCAAAGGAGGCATACGTGGCTACATTTATTAATGAACCATGCTCACGTCCTGATGGTCCCCTACATAAATTGCAGCTGACGCACCAGTGCGGCTCATGTCCAGCCGACGCAAAGAGGAAGCCCCTATTGCACGCGTATTATAATGCAACATATTAATTAGGCTCTACGTATACAGCCTTCGGCATTATGTCATGATCGTCATTGATGAAGCGTTGCGGAGAAGGATTAGCATGTCCTGTTACTTACCTAAAAAGATGTTTTGGAAGCGTATAACTGCTTGAAGACGAGGACAATCGGATGGTTTTTAGAAACTGTCTCTGGCATTAGGTCTCCGCTACTGCTGCTCATAGCCACTGAATGTGCGCCATTTTATCAGGCTCCATATCATTGAGTAGTCACAACTTGTGAAAGGATGGATGTACAGTTCACTGGATCTTGCCATGAAACCGGCAGTTGTTGTGTCAGCTAATTCACTAGTTTGCATCTCGCGTCTCATGCGCCCCAGCTGGAAGCCCGTGTGGCTCAGAAGCGGCCAGCCTTTGCTTTATACAATGCTTTGATGCAGTAGACTTTGCATACTATCCTCCGATGCGCGCCGAGATGTGAACAAAAACTAGATGACGCAACAAAGCCAGATCGATTACGTCTTGTTGCTCAGACGATTCGAGCGATCATAAACATTTCCTTAACAAGCTTCTGCCAGCTTTGCAATAAGGCCTGCCGCATCGAAAAGCTGTCCACGCGAAAGTGGCAAGATTGCAAATTGCGTGCAAAACCACCACACTGGAGGAGAATGTATCGTCTCCAGTCAGTGCTAGTTCTAACCTTGTCAGGCGCAGCAGTAACCCTAGCATCACTGGCTTACTTACGATCACGTGGCAAGCGTTGGCGTAGTGATGTGCATTACCTTTCTTTTCATCTCTGCTCTGCATCTCAGAGCCTGCTGCTTCAGGAGAAAAACTGCTGCATACTCCCATTTCCAGATAAGATGCACTGGTTCTTGATACAAGTTCGTCGTCCTGGCAGCGGATGCTTTCACGGTTTTAGCTTGTTTCTTTCCGCATCTGGTGTGCAAAGTACATGTAGAATTCGTCAACTTAAAACTGACGTCGTTGTACAGTACTACTCAATACACACAGAGCCGGGCACCCAGACTGGAAGTACGTGCCTGCCAGCAGGTGGTCAAGCAAGGACTAATGCTGCTCCTGCTCTCATTCGCCGCCGGTCCTTTACCTAGATGTACGGGATCAAGAAGACCGACTGGTTGGTGCAGTCTCTGCTTTCGGTGCACGGAGCGGCAGGTGTCGTTACTACTGGCTCGCTCAGCGTAGCAGAAGCGGATTTCGAACGAGAGCGGCCGACCCTAGGTGCTTCACGCTTTGAGTAAACGCGACTCACACCCGCCACATGCAACAGCCGTTACATAGTAAGATGGTCAGCACCGGGTCACCTTGCATTTATTCTAGCAATGAACAGAACTTTCAGCGTTACACGTGTATAGCACACGAACGCCGTGGGTACCGGAATTGAAAATGTGGACAATACTAGTACAATCAACGGCATCAGCAAATCGCTTTTGCCTTAAACGTGATTGTGAGTCTTCTCCTTAACCCGGTCGGCACTGGAAACTCCGCAACCGAGCGTCAACGCCAGATAGGAAAGGAAGCACAAGACAAAGACGAGGAGATATTCCCATTCGACCGCACCTCAGTCTCCAATTTATCCATCACTACTTAAAAGCTCCACCCAGCTCTGCTGTTTAGACAAGTTCAAACAAAGCAGCCAAAAGCGCTGCAATTCATTGACCTTTGACGTCTTCCAGCCTAGTCACTAGTCTTTGAGTCAGTCTTCAAGAATTTAAGAATGCAGCCAAATGGTGGGCATCAACTGCCCGAGTACGACTACGAATACAGCAGTCAATACAGCCAGCAGCAGGCCAGTGGTGGCGCCGAAGCAGATCGCCCCTCGGTCCCAGGCATGCGCCCCACACTCGAAGCGCCGATCTACTACCAGCCGTCGCCGCTGCCACAGCAGTACACACCGCAGCAGTCTTACTATCAACCCAGCCGCACGCCCGTCGTTAATTCTCAATTCCCGTACGCAAAGTCCCCGCTGGAGCACAAATCTATCGCAGTGTATCAACAGCAGCCGACAGATTATCGAATCCAAGCCACATCAGAAGCTCATCACATAGAGCCATCAATGGCCATGGAACGCATGTGTGATGTCTGTCAGTACCCTGACCCTGTCCTCGTAGCACCTAACTGTAATCATACCTTTCACTCGCGCTGCGTTCACGTGTGGCCGATGGACTCCTGTCCGGTTTGCGGAGAACCGCTTAAGGAGGTAGCGATCTCTCCGACCATCAATATGATGGCGCGGCCCGAACCACGCAGCGGAAAGTGGACTCGCCCCGAAGAGAAGTTTATCGACGGAGTCCTCCGCGAGTTTGATCGACAGGCACTTCCGCTTGCACACGGCACACCAATCCGCTTCGTGCTTGCCAAGATGCTTAACTGCTCCACGATGCGATTGTCCAAGAAATTCCAGAAGAATGCGTTGGGTAAACGCACATTCAGGGTGACCAAGCCTGGAAAAGGTGAGAAGGCGCTTCAGTTCGACCCCATGGACCACGCGCGACGACAATGCGAGCTATCTCAATTGGAGCAGATGTTCCGTCAAGAGCTTGTGGATCAGTTCCGACGTGAAAATAACACGGACGAAGGTGCTTTAATTGAAACTCAAAACTTGAGAATAGCTGTCCAGCAGTTTTGGGTGAACAATATGCTGAAGTTTGCAGTTCTCGTAGGGCAGCCTGTGATGGGAATAGATGTGTCGGATGCAAAAAAACGCAAGCGTGCCATGCAGCTTCTACGCAACGGACAATTTAACGAGCTGCTATCCTGGCATCATCATCCGTCTCCAGCGAATACGGTTAGTATTACGCCAATGCCGCCTGCTCTTACGACTACGTCGAGCGATGATCACGCCGTATCAGCGTTGTGGAGCACCGGTGCGGCTGTGTATTCCTCCTCGGTTTTAGGGCAAACGCAACAAGAAAGTGGACCATCTATTTCAGCTCTTCTACATAAACCAGAGCGACTCGTGAAGAAAATGCGCACGCCCGAGGGGAACGTCGACGTTGGTCGTTTCGGATTGTCAATGGACCAATCTACGGTGTACCCACAATACGGACGTACCTCACCTGCACCATCAGTCTCTTCTTTCGATTACAGCCAGCAGCAGCAGCAGCAGCAATCCGAGCAATTTGTGCGTCCGTCCAGTTATTCGCCGTCCTCGGAAGGCAAGACGCCAACTAGATACGGCAATGTGTTGCAATACCAATACCAACAGCAGATGCTGCCTGGGCTCACCGTACATGATCAGCGGAGCGGCTTCACGTCAGCAGTTTATCCACGAGCTGAAAAAGCTTATCACTCCAGTGGAACACGTCAGATGGATCCGTGGGATGGTCTTCTGGAAAACATGTCGTTCGCGGCTAATGCGGCCAAGTCTGGTGCAATTAGCCAAAGCAGCTCGTCCCAAGCTGTCGATCCGTCCTTGCAGTCTTGGTCCTCCAGCATGCACATCATATGAAGACGTATGTGTCGTCTTTGTGTTTTAGCAGAACATATTCGTTGTTACTAGTGTTTAATGCGAATTAAAGCACCAGAAGTTGTACCCTTACGTGTTGGAAAACAAAACTTAAGTCATTAAATAGAGTAAAAAAATGCATCTTCCGTATCGCTCCGTTCGTCATCGATAGAACAAATGTCTCAAATGAAAGAATATAATACCTTCTGCGACGTAGCGTAAATTTTATTTCTGTTTTATATTTCTGCTCTCAATAATTAGTACCCATCGAGTATTTTATTTGGCCATGTTGAAAGTTATATATATCCATGTATTTCTAAAGCTGACGCAACAAATAGAAATGCTACGACGTGCTGTACTGCTGCATGGGCGCTCGTCACGTTCCATGTCACTGCTAGGCTCAATATTCGGCATTGGTGAGTTTGAGGGCGCCCGCAACACGTCGCTAAGCCGAAGCACAAGCAAGCAGCAAGCTTATAATGTGGCACTGCTGGATGTAAGTAGCTCACTTGGTGTCAGCAACAAATTGTTTCTTACGTTTCTAATCAACCGACAGTATGTGAGCATGAACTCGCATCCAAAGTTTATGTTGCAAAAGGTCTTAGAAGATGACGCGTCATTTCTCATGGGTCACGTGCTGGTAGGTGCCAGTCAATGCCTCGCTCCTTTCATTCATCAAGATGCATTGGATGCTGCGGACAGACTTCAAGTGGCGACAAAAATTGCTCGAGAAGGTGGGAATAGGAAGCTCTGGACTGAAAGGTATCGAAAACACTGCAGGATACATAGTGAGATTGTTGTGCAATTGCAGGAAAGACGACAATGACCGAGAAAATGCACGTGATGGCACTGGACGCGATAGTGCATGGTCGTAATTACGAGGCTGCTGCACTCTATGAGACTATTTTGCTGCATGACTACACGGATCTGCTGGCGTTGCGCTGCTGCTATGATGTCTATCGATTCCTTGGGTGAGACGGATTGCAGGTGGTGGTGGTGGAGTTGGGTGTGCGATAACAAGTGGGTTCTGTATGTACTGTAGTAACTACAAGAACATGTTGGCGGTAGTGACGCGTCGGCTGCCGTCTTGGTCTCCGAATGATGTTGGATATAGTCACCTGTTAGGCATGCAAGCCTACGGAATGCAAGCTGCTGGACGGCTGGATGCGGCAGAGGCTCTAGCTGAAAAAACGTTGTCTTTGAACGGCAATGATCGATGGGCGTGTAAGTAAGATGGTTGACAGCCAAGGGATGCGCTTCGTAGTGACTGACGCTGTACGTGGGTTCGTGGCTGATGTTCTGTAGTACACACCATGCTGCACGTGTTAGAAGCACGAGGCAATGCCAACCACGGAGCCAGCTACGCAAACCAATTCAAGGCAGGTTTTGACAACGGTGGTCCGCTAGAGCATCACATGTACTTCCAGTGGGCGTTGTATATGTTGGATCTGGGTCATTACGACCGCATCGGAAAGATGTTAGAAGTCAACATATTTCCGTACCACCCCGATGACACTCCCCACGCAGTTCCCACTCTGTGCAACGCTACGCAGCTCTACTGGAGACTACGTTTTGCAGCTCAAGACGTTGCTGAGTTAGGTGAGCAGCTTCTACAGAACTGGTCTGCCATACTTTCGCCTCGAAGCTCAGGTGCAATGGAGGTGTCAAAAGCTCGTCTTCACCCTCTTGCAAACGTACTCTGCTACGTACGTTTATTATGACAGTACCGCTGATATGTCAATCAGCACCAAGTTTTTTTTTCAACAGCTGCCTCTTGTTTGAACAGAGCATTTTGTCATGCGTGCCATCGGGCGCTACACCACCGCCGGAACCGCTGACACTGGAACCTGCTATCGACACCAATCGCTTAGAGGCTCAGTTGGGCTTTACCCCGCTCCAGTTTAGCTTTCCTCCCATTTCAGGTAAACCTGTGTACTCTCAAGCTTGTTTTGCGTGGCTCAATTGTGTTAACCTTTTGATGGTGTCAGGTGAATTAGAGGAGGTGCATAACAACGTTTGCAAAGCTTTTCAAGCATACGCAGAGGTTTGTAATGGACATTTATCCAAGGGAGACGCATTATATCGTTAATGATTACATCTTCTAGGCTCGATTCAATGATGCTACCCAAGCGTTGTTACCTGTGCGCGAAAAGCTTGGACTTCTTGGTGGAACCGAAGTAGATCAAGATGTGGTGGAGCAACTGCTCATTGAGTGGTACGAGCGGCGTCTTACATGCTTTTGATCGTTTGGTTAAGGCTAATGTAATTTGTGTTCTGTAGTGCTAGCAAGTGCGACGACCTGCGACTTGTAAAGCTTCTCCTCAACGAACGGTGCGATGCTTACAGATCCTACAAGCTGCTGCTGCAATACATCTGTATTCCCTTCTAACTTTTTACGCTGGTTTTCAACATTAGGCTGAGCGCGAGACCACAGAGTGCACAATGTTGGAATGCCTTTTCGCGTGTTTCAGCAGCCATGGGAGACTCGTCCGCCGTACGGGATGCGCAGGGCATGAGCTATGTGCTAGGACTGGGTCAAGGCGGCAATCAGACGTACTAGCCAGTGTAAAATACCGTGGCCCATCGTATTGATTTGCAACCGATGTCTCTGCATGTCTTTTCCCACCTATAGACTGCATCCGTGAATAAACAAATTACACTGCAACTGCAACATGTACATCCTTGTAAATGTAGCCATTGTGTGACATTATGTACCCAAACTTATAGAAACATTCACCGTTTGAGTTAACAAACGCATGGCGTCGAAACGAATTTTGCGTGCATGCAAGTTACAGGGTCTATCTCTCCACGCTGACGCTCTCCGGCACCTCACTAAGGAGCTCACCAAGTGCGTATGCATTTTGCGCTTCTAACCGTCTAGTTGCCACCTTTATACGCGTTGTAGTCGCTTCAGAACAATTGATCGTCGACATCGACTCCACTTCCTCTGATCATTCTTATTTAACGTTCAATATCTCTACTTTCACTTGCAGTGAGCCGTCCTTACAACTGGACGATGTCTTATACGCCATTAAAAACAATATCGATCGTAGCAAGAGTATGTTTTTGCTGTGTAAATCATTATACTTACTTCAGATGTTTAACTTTTGATGATCATTTCATGTTACTACTCAGTGACAACATCTGTAGTGACGCTGGAGGCTCTGGAAAGTGCGTTGGACACTCTATTGGCAGTATCTGCAGAAAACGACTTCGAACAGATTCAAGTGTTTGGTGCCTTCGATACGCCGATGCTGCATTTTAACACGTACAACAAGTCATACGAGTTGAGAGCAGACGCCCAACGTCACCTCCACGCTGGACCTGAGTCAAGGCTTCAGCTGCTACGGAATAGATTCATGTCGTTGGATGTCCGTGTCAAGAGGAATCGACTGTTTGCGCCACCATCGGCTGCGGTGGCAAACACCTCGGAGTACATGGAGGTAAAGTTAGGACTAGATTCTTTTTTTTCTTTTGATGCAAGGGATGGTAGTTGATCTCATTGTCGTGGTGTATAGTTGTCGCGGATTGAGTCGCTACTGGGTGCGACTGGAGTACGACGCGTGATTGGTATGCTGGGGCAGGACGAGCGAAAGAGATTTTACCTGGAGGATTTTACGTCGCGGATTATCATTGATCTCACAAACGCAGTATACACAAAAGGTCTTTTTACGGTAAACTGCGTGGTGCTGGTGGAAGGTGACGTGGTTGATGATGTATTCCATGTCCAGGTACGAATTTGTTTGGCAACCCCTGTTTCTCTTATCAAAATACCAGATAACATAGTAACTATTGTGACTATATAGTCAATGGGTTTCCCACCTCCAGAGACAAAGGAGGCTTCGCTGGACGTTCTAGGTGGTATTGATCCACTAGGTGTGGAGGTGTCGGCGCAGCAGCGCGAACAGATTCAATCAGTTGAAGCTAATGACCATCATGCCACATTCATTGTACTATCTGACGTCCATCTGGACGATCCGAATGTCATGAGCAAGTTGGACGAGCTTTTTCAGGGCCTCGAGAGCGTGCAGCCAACGCTTTTCATCCTCATGGGCGATTTTACGTCAGCATCTATCGGTGGAGGTGCCGGATCGAACTCACTGCAGGATCTACGCGAGTACCTGGAGGAGCTTGGAGACCTCATTTTAAAGTATCCTGGCATCGCGGATAACTCTCGTTTTGTGTTGGTGCCTGGACCTAATGATCCCGGTTCATCGCGCGCCTTCCCACGTCACCCGGTAATACTTGCAACCATTCGCTGACTGCCATTACCCATATTGACACGATCCAACTCGTTTATTGTTCACAGCTTCCTGACCTTTGCACACGCGAACTCATTCGTAAGGTGCCAAACGTCACGTGCAGCACCAACCCGTGCCGAATTCGCTACTACACAAGGGACATCGTGATCTTCCGTGACAACCTCCAACAAAAGATGCAGCGACATGCGATTCTTCCACCAATGTCAAGTGAGCAAGAAAACGAAGGAGCTGCCGAGGAAGAAGATGGTGAGGCTGCTCTGTCAGTCTCGCAGATGCAAATCTCGAAGCACGTATGGTTTCATTGCTGTCTTGATCTACTTGATATCATCCAGATGATTACTGACTTGTGAGCTACATCGACGTTTTGTTTACAGTTGGCAAAGACGCTCATCGACCAAGCGCACTTGTGTCCGTTGCCGTTGATAGTAAATCCGATCAATTGGGACTTTGATTCGTCACTGCAGCTTTTCCCACTTCCAGACGTGTTGATTCTCGGTGATTCAACCGAGCAGTATCAATTAGGCTACTCGTCTGTCGGTGTGTTTCATCCGGGTCCATTCCACGTAGACTTTTCGTTCGTATTTTATCGTCCGAGTACTAATACGACTGAATTTAGTCGCGTTGAATAAAAGCTTTGGACTAAAACGAGACCCGAATTGATAACATTATTCTCCTAATAAGGTGTAAACCAATACTAACCTTACACCTAATTATAATTAACTTTTAGACTTTTGCAATATGTGACACGCGCACAAAGTCCAAATTAATTTGTGCGTCTCTTTGCTGTTACTTAGTGCGGGTAGGTGATAAGTCTATTTTTCGACGTCATTGTTACAATTACGACCTCCATGCGTCGTCGCCACCATCGACAATTTGGGCTCTCGAATGCTAATCAGATCCTTCTCTGTATTGCTGTGTGTACATTATTATTCTTTGCGTTGCTGCGTCATAATTGGCTAATTTTTGGAGAAGATCCGGCCATTTACGCGTCTCTGAAGCGTGTTTACATCTTGAACAATGAAGTGACCGACTCCATTTCGTGGGAAACATTTTGTGCTGACGATTCTTTTAATATGATAATGTAAGTAGATTGTAGTATATAATGTCTTTTGATTATAGTCTGCTGATAAAATGGGTCGTAACTCTGATGTTTTGTGTACAGTCCTGGAACGAACGAGACCATACCCGTTGTCAGCATGCAGGATGGAGCAGTATTGTGTCATAAACATACAAATGGAGAGCTAGTGCCAGGGTTGATGGCATGGGTGCTGGCGGTAGCACTTAGTTGTGCTCTATTGAGTATGCTACTATCGGTTTATCTGCAGCTGGGCAATCCAACGAGGGAGATGGTCTTTTGGATAGGAATGTTGCCGGGTATTTTGCTGTTTGGTGCTGGTACGGAAGACGGAATTGGTGGTTTCTTCTGTGTCGATGTCTGTTTGAGAAATTTATCTGTTATTACGTTTTCAATTTGGTGCAGCGGTACTGGGGACGGCGTCGCTATTCTTGTGGCAGCGATATTATCTACGGTTCAACAATGGCGACTGTTTTAGCATCACGGTGGCTGCAACAGTGATCGCTTATGCGACGGCGATCTCTATGGTCATTCGATGGCGTTGGGTACGTGAAACATTTTGTGATGCATTTTCGTTCAACGTGTAGAAATTGTAGCTCTTCGTGACTCTTGTTTCTTTTTTGCTGTAGCCCGGTATCTGCGCTGTGCCCAACGAGCAACAAGTTATCGGCTCACGCTCGTACAGAGTCCATTTGGCACGTTCTCGAGATCGCAGACGAGAGTCTGCGGGAGCCGCCGCAACGATAAACAGTGCACCTACTCGTGACCTGGAGTCTATCGCTGTTCCACTGAACCGCTGACTTTGTCAGTGCACTGCTCTGTCAGTGTTGCCAGGGCTGTTTTTGGTATTGCTCAGGAGAACGAGCTTATTTATTGTTATAATGGACGTACCATTCGTGTTATGGACACAAGCTACATTGGGCATCATGTTCAGCAGACCTGTCTCTTTGGTGCCCACTTTTGACTGATGTGGTTTTCGTCCTAGTCGCTTTCTTCGCCGCTGTCGGCCTTGAGCTTGCTTAACACACGACGCGAGTACTCGCCAATGATCTTGGCGTCGGCACTACTACTGCGCAGATATTCTGCCAGTGTCTCTGGTCGGGAATGCACCTCGAGCAGGTAAAGCAGTGTTCGCTCAGCAGGCAGCTTCACAGCCATGTTGTTGCTCTTGATAAGCTGGAAGACGGCAGGAACAAGCTCTGATAAGTGATCACGCATTTGCTCCGGTGAGCGCTTAGCAGCCAGTTTCACCGCGTACAGGGCGCCACGGATGACGTCCTTGCTCTTGTTTGTCACATTCTCCGCCAGCACGCGCACTAGAGCGGCAACATTGTCCACGCGCTCCTGGTGCTTTATTACTATACCAATAGCCTTTAGCGCATGGTTGCGTACAGCAGTCTGTTCATCCTGAGCCAATGTAAGAAGCGTGGAAGTCAGTGGAGCTGTGATGTCTGGAGTAAGCAGTGCCGCATAGTTGTGCAACGCCAACGCTGTAAACACAGCTGCACTCTGGCGGCGCTGCCACGGCAACACCTGCAGGTTATCTGCGGACACATTTGACAAACTATAGTCCAACAGCTGCTTCTGCGCCACCTCCACGTCGTTGCTTGCGGTGGAAGCTACGCAGGAAGCGAGACACTTGCTGGCACCGTCGCGCAGTGCATCTTCACTCGACTCCAGCATCTCCTCGAGTGCACTCTCGAGGGTGCTGCGGCCAGCAGCTGACAGTTTGTCTCCGACACGCTCTACCACCAAGGCTACAGCCTCGAGGTTGGCCTCACGTACGCCACCAGTCGTGGTGCGTAAGCGCTCGGTAAGCTCTGCTAGGAGAGGCTCTACACGCGGGCTGAGCGTGACGAGAAGGCTTAACGCTGACGCGCCGCAATTTCGCACATCCACAGCAGTGTCGTTAAGAGCCTTAACGAATGTAGTTTGCAGCTGCGGAAAGAACGGCTTAAGTGCTACGCCACCTTTTGTCAAAATGATCTCCAGAGTTTGCAGGATTGCAGCCTTCACGTGACCTGGGAAACGGTCACCAGCGATACGAATGAGCGGGCCCGTGAGCTTAATCAGGTATGGACGAATAGCAGTTGCGGTACTTAGCTCCACAAGCTCGCCAAGGCCAGCAGCCGCGCTTTGGCGCAGCTCCGGTGAGCCGTTCATCAAAGCCCACTGGTAGCTAGGCAGGAATGGTTCAAGGCCCTTAGGAATACACAGACCCGGCAGCAAGTACTCACCGTCACCAACACCACCCTTGCGGTGACGGGCATCACTGACCATCGAATTGATTGACTGGCGAATGAAGTCCAAGTGCTGCGCAAACTGTTCCGGCCTCGTGGTCACGTTCATGCCCTTGAATGCCGCAGAGGCGGCCCGAACTACCAGATCGCTTTGGTCATTTAAGTGCAGCACGATTTGCTTGAGGAACAGTGGCGCCTGGTCATCATACAGCACTGACGAGTGCGAGCAGAATTCGGCTACAAGCTCGAAAGCCAAAGCACGTTCGACCATGCCTTCATACTCGCAGTATTTGCAAAGTTCGATAGCCAGCCAGTGCACACCTGGTGCTTCCACACCGAGTACCACATCGCGCAATGAGCTCTTGATTTCTGCGGCAAGTTCTGTCTTTGAAGTATCCAAGCTGCCATCTTCCAGCAACTCTACGTACTGCGCAAAGAAGGTAGCAAAGATTCGCTCTAGTTGAAAGTGGATTATAGCACCCGTAGCCTGGGCCACGCGCGACATAGCACGTGCCGCTGAGGTAGTCATCGGCGTCACTAGTAGACGCGGAATCAGATACGGAAGCACTTCGCGTGATTTCACACGCAGAATTTCCTGCAGTCCTAGAAGCGCACGCTCTTGTTCCTCCGCTGACGGTGACGAGTGGATGCGTTCCAACACCATTGGAACAGTTTCATCTATAGCGCGGTAACCAATGCCCTTATGTAGCACATTGAATGCTTGCGCAGCCGAGGCACGAACCTCCGCCAGTTCATCACAAACGCCATCCAAGATAGCATCAATAAGTGTGTCCACATAGTCTTCGAGTTGTTTCTTTGTGCAACAATCAATGACTTCAGCCAGACCGATACAAGCACCCAGTCGACGGCCAGTTGGCAGTGAAGGCGACAAACCGGCACGCAGGATGGGCACCACCTCAGGAAGTACGTGCTCGCCGAGCTTGCGCACAATTTCTCCAAGCGTACGACCCGCCATTGTTTGCTTCTCCATGTTGTCACCCGAGAGCGCCGACACAATGGCGTTCATGAGCGCCTCCAGAATCTGGCGCAGAGTCTTGGGCGTGTTGGCAACCACACTCTTCCAAACCTGCAGCGCGCTCTGGCGAACCACAGCTGAAGTGTCCGAACGAATCATGTACAGTGAAGCCAGTATTGCGTTGCGGCGTTGAATACCAAGGAGCTTGATAATGGCACGATCACCCGCAGCGCTGCCAGACGTCTCATCGTCATCGTCGTTGTCTTCGCTAACAATAGCAACAACGCGCGTGCCACTAATACGGTACATGAGATCACCGAGCAACATGACCGAGCTCTGGCGGATACGCCAGCTATCATCAAACAGACCAGCCTCCAGACTTGGTAGCAGGTCGCGCGTGTGCGATAGAGCGTGCGCGTTAACCACGACGTGACCCGAGTGCATGGCAACATCACGCACAGACTCGGCTTCATCGCTAAGACCCGCTACCACGATAGGCAGTGCCTCACGAAGAAACATTGAAAACTGCTTGCCAAGAGCTGGCGGTAAGAAAGCCATAACCCACAACACACCCTCACGCACCGAGTACCTCGGATGGCGAGCCAACGGCAAAATGTCATCTCGCATGATGTGCTCCACGCGCTCAATACCAAGGGCAACCACGACTTCACACAAACCTTGTGCAGCTCCTGAACGCTCGACAGGGCCAACCTCATCGTTCTTCATGGCTTCAAGAAGCCATGTCAGCATATCCGCGAAGTGGCGCTCACCAAGACCCTTGACAAGCTTCCCCAGAGCCTTAGCGGCCACGGCACGCACCTCTGGAATTGGGTCCGTGAGTTGCATCTTTAGACTAGGTAGCACCGTCTCCATGTAAGGTAGCAGGTCTTTGGCATCGTTGATCATGGAGCACATACTACCAACAATAAGAGCAGCCTTCTTCTTAGCATCACCCGCGCGATCCTTCAGGCCACGAGTGATGATAGGCATCACAAGGGCCAGTGACGGTGCATCGATCGAATGCTGGAACGATGTTGACTGAAGTTGCTGAAGAGCTTCAGCTGTGTGTCGGTTAGGGTCTTCAAGAGCATCAAGCAACACCTTGGAGATCGTGGCAATTTCAGGATTGCGCACCACGGAGCCCACGTCGCGCAGCGCACTCTTACCAGCCTCGCGCACCTTTGGGTGTGAGTCCGTCAATGCAGCCATTAACTTGGGCACCACCTGAGGCAAACAGGAACCTAGTTGTCGCGGGGCACAGTACGCCATCGAACCCAAGATCTGAATACCGGATTGCTTCGTACGCCACGCACTTTCTTCAAGAGCACCCAGAAGCGATGGCAACACCAGCTTCACGCCGTGTGCTGACAGGTTGGCCATAATACCCTTAGCAGTATGGCTTGCCGCCTCACGTACTTGCGGGCTGGCATCGGCGGAGCACTTGAGCATAATAGGCAGGATGACAATAATATACGGTTCGAATAGCAATCCGAGACGCTGGCTCAAGCATTCAAAAACAAGCATAGCGCCTTGGCGAGCGTTAGCACTACTCGTCCTCATTGTTTCTTCAAGCCGCGGGATTATGTTGTGAATCTTGAGGGCAGAGATTCCAAGTCCTTTAACAACAGCCGAAACACCAAATGCTGCACCCATGCGCTTGCCAAAAGTTTCGCCTTCAGTAACACGCTTCAGTAGATCGTCCAAGATACTCGTACTGCGGTTCTTTACTGCACCCATGAGCGGCGACAGACACGTAGCGACAGAGCGCTGCACCGACTCGGACGGAATATCCAGAGCTTCAAGAAGTGAGTCCACAATAGAAGACACCTTCGGGTCCGTCGGAGCCATATGTTTGGCGAGGGAGCCCAAACACACCACGACACCCTCACGCTGATAATCATAAATAGACAATGCCTGCTTCCTTTGCTCATACATATCGTCTTCCTGAAAAGCAAGGTGAGTTCCAGCCTTAGGCGTCTTTCCGGTGCTGCTTTTGACCGTAGAAGTAACGGCGGGAGCGGTGGTCTCAAGAAAACGTTCAAACATATCCAGCAGCTGTGCAGTATTGGCCCCTCCACCCAACGAAGCCACAGCTTGCACACCAGTCTTGCGCATCTGCGCACGCACCTTGGAGTTTGAATCCCCCAAACCATGCTCCATTACAAACGTCAACAGGGTTATGGTGTTTGTGTTGGACATTGCTTCGGGGCCAGCAATCTCCGCGGCTTTCTCCAAACACAAGGCAACGCCAAGACGAGGGCACATTGTACGAATGTCTTCGTCCAGTTCTGCAGCATGTGTACCAGGGTGGCGAACAGTTGGTATACCAAACTCATCTTTTTGCTCCAGAGGCTTCGGCTGATTGCTCAAAAACTGTGTCTTTAAATTATTCAGCAGGGGTGTCACCGACTTCGGGAACTGACGCATGCCATCAGCAAGAGCAAGAGAGGCCCTTTCACGCACACTTGCGTGAGCGTGATTCAGCAATACGAGCAGCGGGCCCGCGAACAGCGCCGTGACTGTAGCTCCTGTGGCATCCCATATCTGCTTCGCAAGTGTACGGTTCTTTTCCTCCGCATCGAACCAGCAGCAATACAACCGGCTAATCACTAGCGAACTAGGTTTGGCGTTACGGAACTCCTCGCCACCTTCGTCGCTCAAAGCGACATTGAGTAGCGCAGTCAGGACCTCACTACGGGCACTTGCCTCCTCAGAGAGCAGACCATCATCGCCAAGCAAAGGCGCCCACTCAGACGTTGTGAGTTCGGGTCCCATGCAAAGAGAAGTTAGCAATTTACCCGGAGCCAAGTCAGAGTTAGTAATGGGCAACCCACTGCCCGTTACCTGCTGGGATAGCAGCAGCAAAGTTAGCTGTAACATATCGCGACGCAGCATCCGCTGGGTCGCGACATCATCAACTTCTTCTTCCTCTTCGTCAGGGATCATCCGTGCGTGAACTGCAAAGAGAGGTAGAGCCCACCGGCGCAGGTCTGGTGCGAAGCGCAGCAAGTCACGTAGCACTGGAAAGAGCAAGTGTAGCGTCGGTGGAGGAATCAAATTGCATGGAGAATCCGCATCAAAGTCCGTCTCACTTTCAAACTGAAAACCAAACACATACTCCATGGATTCTGCCAACAGACGCAAAAACACCGCTTGCATCTCTGCGATACGAGCAGTCTTCGCCTTATCCGATGTGAACAGGTTCAGCTCTAGAGCGACGCGCAGGGCACTGCCAACGTCTTGGTAGTTCGACCGAAGCTGCTTCGGGCAGACGGCCTTTGCCATGGCCAGGAGCGCATCGGATGCCTCAATCTCAAAAAGTGGGCACGTGAATAATACCCGCACTGAGTGAAGCAAGTACGGCAGAGTAGGGTGAAGTTCTTCTGGCCGAGTGACTGCAAGCATATTAACGGTCTCTAGCACAGCAGACACAACACGGCGCGTCTCTTGTACTCTCCGGCGCACTTCCTGTTGCTGCTCCAATAAAGCCATCTGCTCAGCTGTATACACCTTCTTCTGACCACTTTCTTCGGCCCGTTTCTTGCGAGCCAATTCCTCACGCATTTCTTGCTCCCATTGCTCGTCTTCATTGCCACGACGGCCACCACGATTGCTGCGGGTGGCGGCTTCCTCATCCTCGTCTTCTTTCTTATGCTGATACAGCTCATCAAAGGGAGTCAGACAGATTGCGAAATCCTCTTCACTGAGAGCGTCAATGTTTTCACCGTCCAGACGCTTAGCCAGCAGCTCTTCGATAATATCGTGCAGCACAAGATCTTCACCCTCACCATTACCAGCGAAGTCGAGCAGGGTAGCCAACGCTCGTTGAGCAGCTAACCGCTGCAGTGAGCTTGCCGAATATAGCTTGCCAGTAGACGCATTGGCGAGCAGGTCGGCAACTGCTGTTTTGACTTCTTTGTGCTCTTCAATGAAGTTATCTACAAGATCCGCATCACAGATTGGTTCATCATCATCATTACTGTCCTCATCATTGGTATTAGTAGTAGTGCTAGGCGCCAGGAAACGGCGACGAATGGACTGCCACTCGCGCGCAAACGCCTTCGCCTTGGTGCCTGCAACGAGCAATGGGTGGTGCGCGAGGAAAAGGGTAAGAGCAAATGTGTGCACCTTCGTATCTTCTGCACCACTAATAGTAGCTGGAACGAGCACGCGCAGCGCATGACGAAGCACGCCTGCAGGTGGAATAGTAGGGTCATTTTCAGCAGACAACGCATCGATCTTCTTCTCGAACGCAGCTACAAAGCCCGCACAATGCTCCAAGGATGCCAGGTACGCAGTCTCTACGGCGAATTCAGCACTCTGGCGCACAGAGAGGCTAGTAGAGCATAGTAGCTCTACCAACAGTAAGTAAGCCTCGCTAGCATCTTCCTGCTGTGATGCCAAGACCCACACTAGCGCACGAGATAACGCAGCCAGCGCTGAAACCTCCGGGGCCTCAGGCACAATTCCCTGACGGGACGTACTCGCCACAGTTCTCAACAACTCTCTAACGCTGTTTCCAACAAAGGACGTGGTGCTCAACACCAGTTTCGCAACACCTTCCTGAGCCATTTTAGCATCCATCTCACTGGTAGCAGACGCAATCGCACCTGCGATACCAATAGCTAACACACCGTCGAGATGTACTACATTAGGTTTCTTGTTCGAGTCCTTAATGACCCCAACAACTTCGTCAGCAAAAGCCACAGCTGCAGTGGCCCTAGAGCGGCATAGCACTGCCAGAGCACGAAGGTAACCAGCCACCACTGGTTCAGGCTTGTTCTTGAAGCCGCTCTTCAGTCCAGTCACAGTGGCAGCATCCAGTTCGTCGGTACCGGCTAGCGCAAGCCACTTTCCTAGCGCCAACAATCCGAGATGACGTGTCTGTTCGTGTGCCTCCTTGCTTACAGTCTTAAGCAGAGACGCAATCACTAATGGAGCAATGTTCTGAACTGCCGACGCATCCAACTGCACCGTCGCGGCATCAGCAGCATCATTAAGCACAGCAAAACCGGCTTCACGCTGGTAAAACTGGGCAAGAATACCGTGTTTGCCTTCCAGCAAGGCGCTCATCATAGCTACAAACTGCAGCATATGTTCACTCTGACGAAACGAGCGAGCCAGCACACCTCCAAGCGTCACTGCAAGTGCGCGAACATCATCCTTAGGCGCGCGCATTTTCGCAATCAACACGGACTGGAACACACCGCTCACATATCGTCCAAAGTCTAAAGGCGCAGCCTGAACGAGCGCCCCCACCGCTTCAATCACCGTGTCGGGTGTTTTCTTGAGCATTTTCGCCATGGACGGTAGGATCAGCTGCTCGAATTGCTCGTAACTAAGTGTCTTGAACCTGGCGTCGTCCTTGTACAAAGGCGCAAATGAACGTTTCTTACTTTCAAAAGCCCAGAAAGCATATCTCCCCCATAGCATCTCCTGCATCTCCTCGTCCAGTAACTTGCTAGTGCTCAGCACTAGCCACAGCTGATAATACTGTTCCTCAGGCGCCACCGCTGCTACCACATCTACATACATCGGTAGCAACTTTTTGCCATGTTTCTTGAGCAATTTGAGCACCGCCTTACGCGCCTGTTGCTGGCAGCGTTCGGAGTCGTCGATAGTCGCCTCCAGCAGACGACTCTGCGACGTCAGTAGCTCTATGAGCCCCGTAGCATCTGGCAACGTCTTGATCGTCAGCACTGCATCGAGCACGACACCCGAGAGACGCAGCGCGATGACGCGCGCGCTGGCGAACGACGCCACGAGTCCTGGACACTTGACAAGCAGCACATGAGCAAAAATCTCTGGAAAATGGGGCACTTGGAGGCAGATATCGGCCAGTAGAGCACGCAAATGCCTCTCAGAGCTGCGATACTGCGAACGGTAGCATTGGGCCAGGATTTGGCTGGCCACACGCTTAAGTGGCAGCTCACCGTTCTTACATTTTTCAAGCACCTCGTGCTGATAGGAATGGATAAAGACCAAATGGGAGGGACGCTCGACAGCCGCGTCTAATAGCGACCTTAGCACGTCTTCTTGCTCCGCCATGACGCTGTGTATTGAGTTCAAAGCGGGAGCACCAACGGATACTTTTTGATGGTGTGAAGTAACACGTGTATACTTTTCCAATCCATGACTGCTCTTAAAAAGGGAGTCTAATGATACGGTATTTTGTCGATGCTATGTACGATTTGTATACTAATTGGTGCATCCACCACACATACTGTAGACTGTGGCAACCAAGCAGAAGCTCATTCTTGACGATGGCGGACGATAATGCCGGCGGTTTTGCAGCTTTTATGGCGACTGTTGACGGTGATAATACACAGCAGACGGAGGCCAAGCCAAAGGATGAGTATCACTATGAAGAACAGCAGGAAAAGGAGGCTATGATGAAGATTTATCACCATCCCATGAAGCAGTGGTTCAGACAGAGGCCACAGCTTGAGGTGCGCTGTTTTGTGATAAAGTAAAGCGGAATATTGACAATAGTGTTATAATTAATGTGAATATTGTAATTTCTGGTGGCAATAATAGGCCAAGTACGGAGTATTTCCGCTGTTCTGGCAAGAGCTTAAGACGTGGGAACCGTACCGTGAAGTACTGAAGGCTTACATCAAGTTTACAGAGCACGGAGACGATGTGGAGAATGCAGAAGAGATAGTAGACAAGGAGAAGCAGAAGGAAGAAGCTACTGGAGATGATCCCGAGACAGCTGAGCAGCCCAAGAAGCGACGCAAAAGTCGGTGGGGGGACCCGGTGGAGGCTACAGCGGACGGCAACGCAGAAAAGAAGAGGAAAAAATCCCGTTGGGCTCCTGCATCTAGCGCTTCCTCGGGAGTAGCTGGTCTACTCGGTCAGAAGCAGCAAGAGACTGTGGTTTTGCGAGCACAGCTGGAGAACATTAACCAGAAGCTAAAGACAGTGGTAATGGATGCTGCAATGATTGAGAAGGATCCGAACAGATCTCCTTCACCTCCACCACAGTATGACTTGAACGGAAAGCGTACAAATACACGTGAAGTGCGTATGAAGGCTGCGTTGGAGAAGCGTCGGCGCGAGACGATTGATCAGCTGGTGAAGGTCAATCCGCTGTTCCGACCACCTGCAGACTACACGCGTCAGAAGCTGAATCGCAAGATCTACATTCCCATCCATGATTTTCCCTCGTACAACTTCATCGGTCTGATTATTGGACCGCGTGGCAACACGCAGAAACGAATGGAGCGAGAAACGAACTGCAAGATTGCTATTCGTGGTAAGGGTTCTGTAAAGGAAGGCAGCAAGGGAAAGAAGGTAAACGGCGACGAGAACGACGAACTGCACGTGCTGATCACAGGTGATCGTGATGAGGATCTAGACAGAGCAGCAAAGGAAGTGCAGAGTTTGTTAGTACCGGTGGACGATACAAAAAACTCACACAAACAGAAGCAACTGCGTGAGTTGGCGCTTATCAACGGTACACTTCGAGGTGATGACGACTGCCACATTTGTGGCGAAAAAGGCCATCGACAGTGGGAGTGCCCCAACCGAGATGCCCACCGTACGTGTCGTGTGATGCTAAAAGCTTTTGTAGGAGGAAAGTGTGTTTTTGGGTCAGGATTATTAACTTTGTGGACTCCTTCTGTGAACTACAGGTACCTTCAAAGCTGTTAATGTCAAGTGTGCTATCTGTGGAGACTCTAGTCACCCGACCCGCGATTGCACTCAGAAAAAGTCTGCTGAGGAGAATGCTGCCATCGATGAAGAATATCAGCATTTCATGCAGCAGCTAGGTGAAGCACCTATTATTTCGACAGCGGTAAAAGCGAAGGTTTCAGAGACAGCGACACCTCAGGCTGCCTCAGCACCATGGTTACAACCAGCGAAGACGTCTTCGAGCGTATCGGCGCAGCCATGGATGATGCAGCAATCTGTTGGTGCACCGGGTACTGCAAGCACCCTAAGTATGCAGGCACCTGGTGCGGTTGTTTTGGGCTCTACTCCAGCTACGGCTTTTCCGCCCCCGGTTGCACCTGGTGGATATGACTACCAAGCGCAAGGCCAAGACTGGGGACAGCAAGGGTGGAATGGTGGGTACAATTCGTATTACGGGTCATGGAATCAGAATGCCCAGGGTCCAGATTACCAGGCGTATGGACAATATGGGCCTCCTTCGGGTGGTGCTGATGCTAGTGCTGGTGCTCCTGGAGCTAATGGGGCACATCAATTTCCGTCATACAGCAATCCACCGCAGTAACACAGACGAAGTAACTGGCATGTAGTGGTGATACTCAGCGATCAAGCGAAGAAGACAAAGAGCACCAGGTACGCCCCCCCCCCCCGTGTGAAGACGGAAATGCTACAAGCCAATACCGACAACACTAACCCGTGGAATACATAGGATTGACTTTGCTTGCTGATCACGGTGTTATCTTGCTTGTGTCGGTTAATACGAGGATAACTAAATCCAGCGACAGCATTATTCTCACGTTTCCAGTCATGGGGCTGGTGAAGAAGCGAAAGCGTTTTCTCCAGCGTGTGTGACCAGGTTAGGTGCCCCTAGCGGGAATGGCCTGAGCTGAGTTGACACCGCTTGTTTGCTTCATCTAAGACAAGTAATTTACGTGGTTGAACTGCGTGTACGTACGTAAGTCGAAGTATGGCTGTGTAATCTTGCGGCACTGTTCTAAACGGTTGACTTTCTGAGAAACCTGTCTTGTCGACCTAGCTGTTTCATGAGTTCCTATAGCAAAAGACTAAGCGTTAGTCAACCTGGGGTTGAATAGTGGCGGAAAAGCGTACTTGTTGACGGCTTGTATCGGACACGAAGTAATCTTCCAAGCGCCTTCGAAGGTTGGACAAAGAAGGCTGCTCCGTACAACTGCTTACATTCAGCAACACGTGAAAAAGGTACTTCCACATGTTGACCTGCCAGTAACGTTTAAATGGCCTGACGATCTCCCAACGCGTTGTGCCCTTAGAGTCGCACTGTGGCTTGACTTCCATATAGTCTCCAAAAAGCATGCAGTGCATCGTTCCGCAAAAGGCAAACGTGTCGACTTGATATGTCCACGGGCGCTGCGTTAACATTTCGACGCATTGAAAGCCTTTTACGTGGCAATTGCCGGTGAAGTCTGTTCCATCCGGGTAAAGACTGAGATCGATAGACCTCCCATAGTCGATTAAGTAGAGATCACCAGCGTCGAAATTCTTATCCTCGTGTCGCCCTTGAAGTTTTGTACACAACTCCGACGGAGGATTTCCTGGTATCATCAGCCAATTGTCCGGTTTGATGTCGCCGTGGAGGACTTTTGCACTGTGGACCAGCTCGATGCAACGTAGCATCTTAATACTGTAATATGCAGCTAGTACTTCGGGAAAGTTGATGCCTGACTGCAAGGTGTTCACAGTTGTAAGTTTCAGCATGCATTAAAACAATGGAAGTGCCAAACCTGTTTGTAGCAATTGAGGACATCGTACAACGTGCCAATGTGGCCCTTATCCATAAGGAGGAAAGCTCCATTCTGTCGAGAGGTGTTAGAGCAGAGCACAATGTTAGATTATAAGTTTGAGTTTTACGAACCGAGAACAGATGGAGTCCGCTAAATGTTGGCACAGGGATTTTCTCATCCGGAAGAAGCTTGTTCTCATCCCTCAATATCTGTATGATCTTGTTCGTAACGTAGAATTCCCAAGCTAAGTTCTGGCGTTTCTTTTCAAACTAAGCAGCAATTCAATTAAAGATGTGTCGCAAGCAAAAGTCGCACTCGAAGAGCTCTTACCTTAACAGCCTTGCTGCAAGTGACGCAGCTGGCCGTGTCAACAATGTTTGCTGAGAATACATATGCAAATGAGCCTGAACCTAGCACTCCGACTAGCTGAAGTGTTAGTGTTGGGCTGGCCTTGAAGATAACCGGTTTTCGTAGCTTCCGCTTGGCCGGATTATTGCACGGGAGTCGGGGCAGCTTTTGTGAATACAGTTTAACGGCATCAGGTCTCGAACACAAGTACCAGTCAACCCGTTGATCAAGGATCAGAGCTTGGCGGTTTTCGTAAGTATACGGATCCAAGTTTCGCGGTCTCAAATCGGTGCGAGTACTATTTCTTGGCGTCACCACGGTTAGTATAGTGCATACATCGTATCATTGATGAAGGTAAATTAGACGGCCAACTACGTAAGCAGTAGCTATACCTCAACGGTCCCTCTCGCGCTACGTTCTTGGTGGCACCTTGAATCCAGCGGCTACGACATACGCTGTTCAATGAGCAGAGTCGAACTATAGCAGCTTCTTCTAATATAATAAAATCACAAGAAAACGTAGACGAGAAGCAATGACCTCTCTACCTTCCAGGAGATTCCTTCGCTGTGGCTTCCTTCTCTGCTTGCATGAGAGCATCTTTGTTCGTTAGACGTCCACTTCTCACCAGGTCATCTCTGGCCGCGAGGGGCTTCCTCTTTTGACCCAAAGCCTTTTTTCCTGTCCGTGGCTCCTCAGGGACATCATCGGTGAAAACCTGAAATGTCTGTGCTGGAACAGAATCGTTCGGATCTTGTCCCAGCGATTGATCCTGCGCACTTATCGCTGTGCTATCAACCGAGTCATCGAACACACTGAAGTGAAGTTTCCGTTCGACGGGATCCTCTTCCTTGTCTTCCCAAACAGTAGCCTTTCGCAGTCTTGGTGGACTGCAAAACATGCTGTTGATATCCTCTAATGCAACACGAGTGTTAATAGTCATGTCTTCTTGATCACCGTTGTGCACTACAGTTCGCTCGCTTGGCATTGCTGCTCCAGATACCAGCGGTAATGCTGGTTCTCGCTCAGCAAGCTTTACATCGCGAGAAATTGGCCGCATGGTGGCTGCTTTTTGCGATGAACGCAGAGAAGCTATCGAAACAATCGCTGACGTGGTTGCTGCTGACGAAGACGCAACTACATTGGATGCAGAGTCTACATTGCGCGACACAATTTGCAGTGCCCGCTGACCAATCCGATCACGTCGATTGTATGCGTGCTTGTACACACGTGCTCGGATTTCTTCAAAAGAAATGGCTTCACCAGTCCTGGATGTGGTCAGTCTAACATCATAGCAGGGTTTTTCCAACCTGCTTGTCGCTTCTTGATTCTGCACACGTGGCGTCTTGTCGCTAGTCGTGAAGTTCTTCAATGGTTCCTGCGCAAGCATTTCTTCTTCAGTAGCTACTCCCTCCACGCGCTGTCGCAGTGTTTGAGAACGATGTGTCAGAGGTGTTCGTCGCTTTAATTTGTTTTGAGGCACAGAAAATTCATCATCCACGAAGACCTGAAGTGGGCTGGAATCTGGATGGCTTCTCGATGTGGACAACGGTAGACGCTCAGGATGATGAACAGCCTCAACCGCACTGGGAGCAGCCGATGGATTCCACGCACTGGGTGCAGCAGGTGAATTCCACGCACTGGGTGCCAGCTCGTTTTCTTTGTCCTGTTGCTGCATAGTGCCGAGCTTTTTCCAACCACTGTTACCACCAAAAGGATCGATAGAGCGTACTACAGGATCCTCGTAGATAATAAATACCGGTTTGTGTGCACTCGCTTTCTGAACACGTTGAGCCCGGGCAGACGCTCGATGCTGGTGTAGCTGTTGGCGCTGTGCATCGTTCAGTTCTAGCATTCCATATGTCGATAAACTTTCGAGAGCACGGCGGTGAGTTACCTCGTCAATGTCGCCGGTTCCAGTCTCTTCGGTCATTCTCAACCACTGACGGCTCATGCGCCGCTGAAATTCCTTGTATTTCCTTTCCAATAGATCCTGTGGCTCTGCATTCCTGTCGTAGCAAAAAGCATACATTAATACCATCTTGTGTCTCACGAAAGTAGGTCGATACAAAACGTACTTTTGGCTGGCTTTTAAATAAATCTTGTGTGCTTGTGGGTAGTTGGCCATTGTCTCGAGCACGTAGGCCCATCCGATGTAGAACAATGAGACGCGCTCACCGATTTTGTTCTGATACAGATACTTGAAAATGTCTTTCGGATTGGACACCAAGTCCGCCTAATTAAACACAAACTTCCACTTTAACATTATCACAAACAGTCTATGAGATCATCGGGTAGCACTTACGTATTGGATCCAGAGACGGACGTATCTCGAGTCGTTCTTGTATCGTGGATTGTCCTTGAGTTTTCGCGTACATTTCTCCAGCACTTTGAACTTTTTCCGCGTATCCTCAGGCATCTTGACTTCCAGCCACCGCACGTACTCGAGCCAGTTGGCGAGTGGATCGTCTCCGTCGTAGGCCGCAATGGCGCACTCCTTGGCTTTCACCTCATCCTCCAGTCGAAGCTTGGTATGAAACGAGTCGTGTGCGCGCAAGGCCTTGTTCAAGTCAGCCACATTACGGCCACGCTTGAGTGGCATCACGTTCTCCTTGGACGACTCCCATTCAAAGGTGTCTGCTTTGCGCTTCCGGCTCGAGCTTGTCGTGTCTCGCGAAGAGGACACCATCGTGGGCATTGTCGGCTCTGGCATCGCTTGCTTCCTGTGCTGATTGCCGTTGTCCTGATTGTCCGCGCTGCCTGTCGCGTTCGTCTTGCGCTACACTTGATTTCTGTATGCAGCTTGCAGTTCGAGTGCGGGCTCGGATGAGGGGTCGGGGTGTCGGCCAGACCATCACTCTGCTACACTTGGCATTTGTAAGATGTATTTTGTGCGCCTACTATTCGCGCGCCATTCAAACGTTTCAAATTACGTCAAAATAAAAAAAAGGTAGGTACTGTACTTCATTTCTAAAAATAACCACTCTAATTGTATCACGCTATTTTCTAAACTTTTTACTACTGTAGTTCACTCTCAACCGGTAGCGTCACAGTTGAAAATCGTGGCGTTTTTTGTGTCACCTAACCTCCCGTTTTCAGCAAAAAATACGGGTAGTCCGGATGGTAATGTAAACTTTTGCGCATTGAACAGTACATGATACCTCGATAAAGTAGCATGTATCCACGCACCAACAGCTCAGCGCAACCATTCGAGCAGCCACACATTTTTAATTGACCGTCAAGACCTCCTCGCGAATCAGATCATGACTCTGAAACTGCAAGGAACTTTCACGGCGCTCGTGACGCCCTTTACGGAAGACGGCAGTGCCGTGGACTACGCCACGCTGCGCGAACTAGTGGAATGGCAGATTCAGGAGGGCATTAACGGCCTCGTGCCGGTGCGTGAAGTGGCGCATTCCGAAGTAAGGGACTGGTGCTGACACTAACTAACGGCGAGATACGGTAATGACTGTTACAGATGGGCACGACGGGTGAGTGTCCCACGGTCACACACGAGGAGCACGATCGTGTGATCGCCGAGGTGGTAGCTACGGCCAACGGCCGCGTGCCAGTAGTCGCTGGTACGGGTTCCAACAATACGGCCGAGGCGCTGCGTCTTACGCGCGCAGCTAAGAAGGCAGGCGCTGACGCCTGTCTGGTGGTTTGTCCGTACTACAACAAGCCCACGCAAAAAGGTCTGTTCGCCCACTTTAAGGCTGTAGCCGAGGTAGGCCTGCCAGTAGTGGTGTACAACATCCCCGGCCGGACCAACGTCAATTTGTCGCCCGAGACTATTGCTGAGCTCTACAAGTTGCCCAACATTGTGGCCATTAAGGAGTCCACAGGCTCGCTTGACCAGGCGATGGAGATCGCCGCCTTATGTGACATCACCATCCTGTCCGGCGACGACAATTTGACGCTTCCGCTTATGGCCATGGGTGCCACGGGTGTTATTAGTGTGCTCTCCAATGCAGGTGAGTAGCAATAGTTCTGGAAGTTATTTGCTGTTGGAATCGTTTCGACTGATAATTGTTAAACAGCCCCCAAGAAGGTTTTAGCCGTCACGGATTCGATGCTGAAGGGCGACTATGATGCTGCTCGCAAGGCTGCACTGGAGAACGTACGTTGAACTGCATAGCTGCTACATGCAGCTCTGCTGATTGCATACAGCTAAACTCATTTTGCTGTCCGAACAGATCTTTCTGGTCAAGTCGCTTTTTAGTGAGGCCAACCCGCAGCCTATTAAGAAGGTGCTGCAGCTCATGGGCAAGTGTTCACCTGCTGTGCGCGCCCCTTTGGTAGAGTGCGAGCCCTCGACCATTGAGAACCTTACGAAGCTGGCCAAGGAGCACAAGCTGATCTAAAACAGGTGTATAGAAGGTTGTGGTTCTAGCTAATCAAAAAGTTGTTTTTGCCAGCTCTATTCACTAGTGCAAAGGTACTACTAGTATATGCAAGATGTTGACGTATGAAGCCCGTGATTGCCCCGGTATGCTCTCGCAAGCAAGAAGAAACTGCGTTGACACACCACAGTACAACTCACAGCGAGGACTGAAGACACGGAAGCAAAAACACAAAACTCACTTACCCTTGATTGAACTTTCCTAGCTGCGAGAAACTAAATGCAAATAACAAGTACGTTGTTTATTACTTGCTAGAGCCGATTGGGCTGTCCAAGCTCGAATCAACGCTGAAACCGCTAATACGTGAGCCTTCACGGCTGTAAGAAGACAAGCCAGAGGTGTACGAGTCGACACTTGAACGCGATTCTCGGAAACCATACGAATCCGCATTCGACAACCCACTCTGTAGTCGCGATTCGTGCATCGCTTCCGAGAAGTCCACAGCTTGAAAATCCTCGCTAACACGCGAGTCTTCCGTTGCACGGTAACCAGCAGTAAATCGCGATTCTACCGTAGCACGAGAGTCTTCCGAAGGGCGGGACGACATTGAGAAATCGTGATCCGAGTGGTGCTCACTCATACCCTCGAAGTGGGACGTGTCATCTTCCGATAACCCGCTCACCGCGCTGAGTCCAGCAATGCCGCCAAATCCGAGGGTCTTCAACTCAGCCTGCTCCACCGAGTCTAGACGAGAATCCATGAGAGATGACACCGAGTTGTTTAAGTCGCCAGACTTCAGGTACTGTTTCTGTCTTTCCGACACGATCGAGTCACCAAAATTGGACATGGACGTCTGAGTGTCGCTGGCAGACGGTAAAAGCACGGAGATGTTGCCCGTGCGGTAGGCATCCGTTTTAGCTTTGTTTGGCTGTCCTGCGGAACCTGCGACACCGTAGCTAGCATTGTCGGGGTACTCATCGGTATCCAGGCTGCTCTTGGGGAGGGAATGCAAGGAGCTACCATTGCTTGAGATAAACTCCGACCCACGCGCGGCTGAGGACATGATGGCCGTTGATGATTCCTCGCTCATCATGTCATCCGCTCTATTCATATCGTTATTTCGAGCCGTAATGTTGGCAATGTACGTGAAATCAATCTTGCCGCCGTTGTTGCTGCTCGGGATGCTATCGTCCATATCGCTAGCCAGGGATGAAGAGTTCGTGCCCAGAGCCTTGTTAGCGTCCGTACTCTCTTGCTTACGACGACGCATCACGAAGATGAAGCCGACAATACCCACGATACAGCAACCCACCACTGCAGCGATGATAGCGACGCCTTTTCCACCGATGCCGTCGCTGCCCGTAGAGGTTGAGGCTGGCTTAATCGAGTCCAACATGTCTTCCTCTGTCTGCTTGGGCTTATCATCAGGAGTGGTCGTCTTCTTCGTCGAGGAATCAGACACCACGTTTGGCTTTACTCGCTGCTCCGCAGCACTGTCAGGGATGTATTCAGAACCGGACTTGGTCGTCGTCGCTTCCTTGGAGCTGCTGGGCGATGAGGCTGCGCTCAAAGAACCTATGGAAGACAAGGGCGCCAGTGTTAGCGGCGTTTCAGATGTTGCAGGCCGAGCTATGGTCAACAATGTGGTCCAATTCAAGCCCCTTAAATCAAAAGTTCAACGCTACCTGATGTGGGCGTCGTAGTGGTAGTGTCCGCTGACACGACACTAATCTTTTTGAAAACAATGTACTCGTGCGCTGCAACACCGAGACTGCCGTTGCCAGGCAACGCCACGAGGCCCACAATAATGTAGTCACCAGCTGTGGCCAGGCTAAACGTGTTAGTCTCCAGTGCCTTCGTACCGCCTGGAACAAAGTCTCCAGTGCTCGTTCCGTCAGCTCCCGTAGGCGTTCCGGCAACGTTTGTGGCGCAATTTGTTCCAGCCGTGCAGACGGACAACTTAGAGATTGTCACAGGACGTGGCAGTTGCGTGCCCGGATCAATAGCGTCAGGAAAGATGGAGTCGGCCAGGCCCTGGTTCGTTGTGGCCGTCCACTTGACTGTAATAGGGTCGTTCACCTGAAACTTTGAGTCCGTGAGCGTAAGCGTGACACTCACGGGGCAGCGGCCAACACTGCTGACCTCTAACGAGTCAAAGATGAACGCACCCACCGAACCTTTCTCGGCCATGCAGTAAGTAGTGGCTCCGTCTTGTGTGAACCCATTGTCAATGTTCGCGGCCAGCGTCGCTCCAAAGAGCGCGGTCATTGTCGCTGTCATTGCAGCAAAAACCTTCATCCTGCTATACAAACTAGCCTTTGTCTATCCTGAAAATGCTCCTTCAATCGGGGCAAGATAGTTGTGCAAAACGCCTACTGTTTGTCGAAACGACTACACCCTCACGACCTGGTTTGTACTGAAAGGAGTCAGAAGCCACAGACGCTAGTCTATACACAGCCTCTATTCTACATTCCCCAGCTGTCACTGCTATCCCCCGAATAACCTCATTACATTAGTATTTCTCTAGATTCGAGGGCTTTAAGCCGTCGGACCATCGCTGATCGATCACTGCTGGTAATGACGATGTTGCGTTACCATCAATGAGCTTTCTTTGTAAGACGCGTAATTTCTAAAAGCCCTGTAAATACTTGCATGTACGCGCTTGTACATGCAAATATTTTGATAGCAACAGGGGCTTCCTGCGTACCCATCTTGAGTGCATATTGCAACCCCAACAAAAGCAAAGAATACTTTTACTATAGAGTGCCGATGTAGCGTAAAGCTCGTACTTCTGAGCAGTGGCATCAGCACATTGTAGCAAGCTGAGGGGTTATCCTCAGCGTAAAACTTTGAGCTAGTGTCTCTAGGAGAGTCGGCTGGAGACGATACATGCAGAGCAAGAACTTGTCGTCGATAGGTCGTCAATTGTCATTGTGCAGAAACCGACCAGATGTGTCATTGTTCACGATACGGCGACCTCGCAGCAAGAAGCTAAAGCTACAGATTGTGCGCATGCATCTTTAGTATCATTTCTGCAGAGTGTGTCGACGTTACGCAACAAATCTATAATATGCTGCCTCAAATTTTTGTTTCATTCGACTCTTTCTTGTAGTTACTGTGGTGGCAAATTTCTCCAACAGATCAAGTAGCGCACGCCGCCCAAGCCGCATTTTCTCCACGCAGATGTTGTGGCACAACGTCTGCGGGTGGATAGATGACGCGACAGCTTGTGGTATTTTGATAGACAAAATGGCAGGTAGCACATTAGTGCACGACATCACAATGATTGTGCACCGACCAAATGCCCACCGTTTTTCAGGAACATTCTCACGCTTAACAGACGGCAATGCCAACTGGTACTGATAGGTCTTTAGCCAATTCTGACTCCCGTTATTGGTAGTCGCTTATCGCCAACTTCCTGGCAAATTCATGACCGAGAATTCATGCATGTACAAGTGGATTATCAACCCTCAACACGACGTAACGCAACACATTAGTTGGGTAATATTACCAGATCTCAAACGCTGCATGTTTATCAACCTCGATGACGTAGGTACGTACCTTTATGGACATTGGTAGCTTCCATTATGGGCTCTGTTGCCGCTCGCATAGGGTCGCTCCCGGCACATGCCAGCATCTTTACGTTAACGTAGGACGGTGAATCAATCAATGTACATGATCTGTCGGCTCACGCTACATTTTTGTTGCAAAGGACTAAAGCAACTACATAACTCAGCAGGAGCACCACTAGGGGTACGTAGCTTTTACAAACATTCACGGATCTCGACTTGCAGTCATACAACTGGTCATTTACCTCACTCCTGTCATGTATCCGTCACCTCTTGCACCTGCAGATAGAGAATTCACTATGTCTCCTCAGTTCGCAGTCTCTTTCAGCTACTCGTAAGCCTACTGGATTCTTTCAACTATACATGACTAAACGCCACATCGCATTACGAATCGTCTAAACGTACATTTCGGTTACCGCTTGCTGGCCGAGGCGCTTCTTCGACAACAGCTCGTAACCATCGAAAGAAGCTTGCCATTACTTATTTGAACCACGTCGCACTATGAAGCGTTTGGCTGCTATCGGTCGTTTGTGTACCTACTTTATTGACAGCATGAGGTGTTCCTCACTACTTAGATCGTTTTTTTCGGAATCTGCTGATTCGTTTCGTGCAATTGTACTTGTCACCATTTGCAGATTGTTTGCATTGCATCATACATGCAACACTTTGGCTTTACTTAGGCGCAAGACGCAACACATAGATTGCTACAGAAAACAACAGCATTCATAACATCAAGGGCAATTTGTAATCGATCCTTCGACAGGTAAGTTAAGATATCATTATCATATCCATCATGGGTATCATCTGGTTGCTAGAAACTCTCCACAATTTGGAGGGAGAAGCAAGTGATTACCAGTCAGGCAATAACAGCTTAAGCTCCGTTGTTTTATGACTCCTCAAGAAACTCGCTGGCTATCAGCATTTGGTTCAACTGCTGCAGCTTGTCCACTTTGCCTAGCATACACCAAGTATCCTACGTCTCCGCATTTTTCCTTAGCAGCTTGCTTGTCATCGTCTGTCGGCAGCTTGTAATTTCATTTTTGCGTAATGGTGCCAACTCGTGCCCAGCAACATTCTCAATCGAGTCACAGGGCCGTTCTTCTAATTACGCGCTAGACAGATCAATCCTCATACAAACTCTTCGTTGTAAGCGTCAGGCCTCTTGACATCACGTTCCTTTCTCTATCTTCAAGTTACAACGTTTAAATCTCTTCTTGGTACTTGAAAATTCCGTAATAACAACTCAAACATCATTAGCTCCAATTACCTTACAATGAGCTGGTTAAATTGTAAGCCGCGGGCAGCATCTCTCTCAATCAGGCTGCCTTCAGCCAAATGGAACGTTGTGAACGATCGATCTCTGTTCTGGTCACCGTGCAACACATCCACCCACACTTGGCAGACTGCGGGCGATACACCAACTGATTATGCTTCTCGCACCGCGCATAATGATGCTCAGCAACACACCGAACGTAAGATATTGACGAGGGCGCTCGTATACGAATGGATCGAGCAAATTTCTCCAGATGACAAACTTTCGACACCGATATTATGATCGAAAAAAGTGATTGCGCTGCCAGTATGTTCAACTCCATAGCGTCCAGTCATCGTGTTGATACTCTTCCTGCTGCCGCATACGTTCTGCTACTTGATCTAAACACATTCAATTCCACAATCTGGGCCATGATCATGTTGTCTCTGTAACATGAAGCTTCGCGTCAACAGCTCAGTTGTTTTAGTGAGGACACTGCTACAATTGTTAATCTTCACCAGGAGCACACTAAATCACACTGACTCAGCTCTCTCCTCGTTGATACTGTATTTGAATCAAACATAAGTCACGTTGCAATCAGTCAGTACTCACGCCCCTCCCTCTCATACAACTCCCTTCAATCAAACGTAGTGGCAGAACAAAATGCTCAGCGAGATTCATAGGAATGCCGTCTTGATCTTCTTACAACTACTACTTCCTGTGCATTCAATAGTCCTCCGTCCACGTGCCATGAGAGATGATGAAATGCATTCAGCCAACGCATTTCAAGCTCTACTTGCGCTTCTTCTGCACCGACTTGTCCCATCTGTAGCACGCCGCAGCGCCAGCGCCCACGGCCACTGCCGAGTTTCGTACCGCCGACCACTTGCCACCTGCATCAATCAGACACAATCAGTCTCTTCCTTCTCACATCCCGACCTTCGTCCACGTACGTATCAAAAGTGATGGCACGCCTACCACAACCGCCATAGCAACTGCCGCCACTTCCGGGTATTCGCGTCGAAACTCGTTCGATTTCAATAGCTCTGTACATGTCACAACCGTACACCCAATTATTCCTTCAATAGTATACTACAATCAAACATCGACTACTATCATTACTGACGTTGCTGGAGTGCGTTTTTTACAGGCACAAACTGATCATCGGCAATCTTCTTGGTCTCCTGCAGCTGCATTTGAGCTGCGTAGAGCTGCACATTAAGTCGTTCCCGTGCCACACCCACATACTTGCGCAGTTCAGTGCCTTTTTCTCCATCTGCTCGTTTAAATACGTCAACAACAGGCGTCACGAACGTCTTGGTAACTTCCCATGCTTGCTGTGCCGTCTCGTCCAACGCGTCACGGACAGCACTCGTGAGCTCCTTTACGTGATCAGCCTTACTCTTCACCACATCACGCGCTTTGTTGAAAGAGTCTGTATCTACAGTACGTGCATTCTTGGACGCCTCGTCTTGCTGCTTGGACACTGCGCCCAGAGCGGCGTCCCCCGGCATCTTATCGTTCGTGTCCATGCTAAGACGGGATTTATTGTGTACATTTCGGTATTGTACACGTATTTCAAGTGGTAGACATCACTAATGTAGCCCACACCATTAATTGACATTTTGTGCGCTAATCGCTTCAATCTCACCGCCAATGGAAGCGGCGGAGACGCAACTGGCGCGTGCGTTAGCGGCGCTTACAGAGCGCGAGTTCCCATTATCTCGTGGTACAGAGCAGCGTCTCGATGCATACTTACAGCTAGAAGAACTGCAGCGTTTGGAAGACACGGAAGTATCTGTTCTTCAGCTGCAAAGACATCTCGCACCTCTTTTAAGCGAATTGCGCTTTGATCTGCAGCATAACACGTTAAGGGACGTGTTACATGCAGCACTGTGTTGTCTTTCGTACTTTATGCATCATCGTAGTCTAGCAGCTTCGTTCTCAGACGACCAGGTGACTTTTTTCCTTGGAGAACTGATCAGACGATTGTTCTCGACGTTGGATCGGAACACGTACAAAATGTGTCTTTGGTGCCTTATTATGCAGAATTTTCCAGTTGAGAGACACCATTTTCTGCCACATACAGTTGAAGGATTGGTACAGGCGGTTGTGAATCCATTCAAGTCACGTGCAAGTATGTGGTATAAAGACTGACTGAGAAGAGATTTAAGAAAAGACTGACGAGTGTTTGTGCTGTTACTAAGTTGAAGTGCAGGCGTTGAAAGGTCTTCATTTGCTGCTGGTAAAGTATCCGGAGCAATTGGGTGTTAATAGGACCGTGTTGAGTATCTATATACGTCCAATTGCTAGTCGACTATCAAGTAACGATACGTCGACAAGGACTCAAGCACGACTGGTGCTTGAAGAAGCGAGTAAACATGCTGCCAAATGGTCACAGGAGACGCTGGAAATGGTGCATGATTGCACTGAAGAATATGTGTTATCTGTTATGAAGTTGCATATGGACCGCGGCCATCAAAAAGATGCGATGTATCTGTGGAAGTTGACTTTGATATTGCTGAGGTCGAGGCTCTCAACATGTTTGGAAAAGCTGAATCAGATTTTGTACGTCCCGGAGAAATGCATGAAAGATAAAGATGCAGCCGTACGACTGATGGCTATGCATGCGTGGGCTGGGATCGTAGACATTTTTCATGATTGTCAAAATTGGTTATTCAATAAAGCCGTGGTGAGTTTACTGGCATGGCCAATCAAGTTTTGTCTGGAGCACGAACGGCTGTTAAACGTTGTGGATGCAGCATTTCTGTCATGGCAAAACATTGTAAGCATCGCAGTTCAAGATTTTAATTTTTATTGCAAAGCCCAACAGCAGTATGTCGAGGCAGGACAGCAGCAGTTTGTGCCTGAGTGGAAGTTCTGGTTCGGAGAACTTGTCATTGGTCCTCTGCTCACATTGATGACAAAGCGAATTTATACTGAGGACAGTTCGTCCATTGAACTTGAGCTGAAGCAATTTATTGATTTTGCGAGACGAATATGGAAACTCGAGGTGCGTGAATCTGGTAAAAGCAAGAGTGATCCCTGTTGGAGTGGAAGCAGTAGTAGCGCAATTGGTATTGGGTCCGTTGTTGATGGATGCGTCACTACGAAGCAGCAGGACAATGTTTGCGGACTGATCCCGAAGGGTGGTCAGACCGGCGATCCGGTTTGCATCACATCTGAGCTGATCGGTATCGCTTTTCTTTTTGAAGACATTTGCAAAGCTATGTCTAGCCTGATTAAGATATCAGACGAGAGTAACAATGAAGTAAGCAAGAGGTATGCATGTGATCTGGCAATGACTACATGGATGGGGGTTTGTCAACGCGTTCTCTCCGGCAGAGAGAGAGCACGGGGCATGAGACGTGAAGACACTTCGCAGACGTCGATTTTGTCTTTGCGTCTCGCAAGAATGGCAATTGAATTCTCATTTGGAATACTAACTTTGAGATCTGCTTCGGCAGCGACACCTGCGCCATCCGGTGTGGCTGCCCCAACTCAACAGTCTGGTAAGAATATCGAAGACAAAGCTGTTGTTTCGTCATCGGTGGGATTTGGAGTGAAGTGGCAACTGCGGTTGCTCATTCCGCTTGTGTCCGATATCTCATTTTCGGGAGAATTACAAGCTGTGATTCTTCATCCAAAATGCAAAATTTTTGATCATGTTACTCAGCGCATGGGTTATCTTAAGAAAGAGTACGCCCAGTGTGCGATGGTCTTGGAGAAATGGAATAGCAGTGAAGGAGTCGACGGACTCCAAATTGACTTTTCCGCCAAGTCAAATGTGCTGGCTTACCTTGTGTTAAATTTGCTTTTTGAGTACGCCATTTTTGTTGATGACATGCAGAATAACTATGAGAGTATAACGGAATCGATGTTGGCGTCTATGAAAATTGTTTTGAAAAACCTCATGCTGAGTACAAAGGTTGGCTCTCACCAAGAGGTTAAAGGGCTTGACGCCGTGAGTCGTTACGGTGAGGAATTTATCCGTGTAGCTGACGAACTTGTCGTTTCTGTGGAGAGTAAAAGACCGAGCATGCTCGACGAGCTAGCAAGTGTTTGCAAGAACTTGACGGAGCACACCAGCGAAAGTCAGCAGAATACGTCGCTGTTACTGGATTTGCACCAACCATGTGAAAATTCCGGTGCTGTTGCTCGCGCGACTGCCAGCACAACTAGTGTTCATAGCGATGCATCTGATGCAGAAGAAAAGAGTGCTGGAAATGCTATAGACCAGACTGAGTATCTAACAGCATCATTTGATGCAACTACCTCCTCATCGTGCTTACGAAGTGGAGAGATTTTGACAATACCGTGTGCAAGGCCGGTTGAACAAAGCCCAGCATCTATAATTGATGAACAACCGAAGCTTCAACGCGATTCTCAGCTAGCCCCATATCAAAGCTCCGATGAAAGCTGTGACCCCAAAGGTGCTGTAACAACTCCGCAAAAATCAGGAGACTATGGGCAAAAGGATGCGGAGTCTCCAAGTATGAAGGCTTCGCTGATGCGTCCCTTTGAACCTCAATTGGCCTCGCCGAAGCTGACAGCTGAAGGTGCTCGCCATCTAAATCTCATCGCGTCACAGTGTATTTACCCAGACCTCGTGGAATGTACAGAACAGATTGCGTCGCTGTACAGGCATGTCCCCATCAGTTTCCGGCCGTTTTTCTCGTTCTACAAAATCAGAACCATTGGTGACTTGAGTGCCTTGCCCGTGGAAAAAGTGAAGACTTTTGGGCTCAAGGAGCCTGTGAACATCGTTCGACGAGCGTTGGACGATTTTAATGAACGGAAGGTCCGTATGAAGTCATTAGCTGGTAGCCCTTTCCGTCAGAGGTGTGTATCGGCCACCGCAAGTCCAGCCATTTCTACGCCATCTCCCCACAAATCGAGCAAACGTCCTTTTCTTGTGGATGGTGGGGCTATCTCTCCTCTCACTATTGAAACACGCGAACACAAGCGTGCGAAACGATCGTTGGTGCTTAAAAATGCAGAAGACGGTGAAGAAAAGCAAGAGAGTGAAGGAACTCATCGAAAACCTGAGTTGATCGACAAAGTCACGCTGTGCCTTCGATCTGGCGACACTGGGAAGATTCAAATTACTCGCCATGGACACGACGACTCGCTTAGCCAGATGAAGCCTTCCGACAAGATTGATACGAAAAAACATGTGCAAGAGAAGATGGATAGCTACACACTTCAATTACTCCAGCATTTACGGAGATCGGCTTACTACATGGATAAACTCGTTGCAGAAGAAGTGAGTATACAAAGTGGTGAAGAAAGTCTGCAGACCAACATTGCAACAGCTAGTGACGTTATCACGAATTACCACGAAGCCCACGATTTGGTGGCTCGACTTGCATCGCAGCTTCAGATTGCAGCTGAAACAAGTTCCAAGCGTTGCCGTAAACTGCTGGCGAAGTATGCTCCAACATGACTTTGCAAAGATAAAAACACGAGGTTTAAACAAGAAGCTAGGACATGGTTGCTATTGAATTGGTATCTACCATGACGTGGTTTGGCAATTGTACACTAAGAGTGGCTATCGGCGGGGACACAGAAAGTGTGCTGGTTATGACACATCATCGAAGTGCTCAAAGGTTAATGTGGAAATGTGTAAGTAGCTGTACGGATCAATGGTGACAGTTGGGCTCGGCGTTATCGTTGCACCGATATTCAACTCTAGCAGACGAAACACTTCGGTTCGGTGGGACTAGCTTTTAGGAGCTGAGCGTGTCTGCGCGTCGTGATGGTGTCCGGAAAGTGGCTGCGGCAACACATGGATGTTTCCTTCGCCAACAAGAAAAGACAATCGAGATCCTGCAGCTACTGATTGACGGTGTTGGTATAATACTCTATTTGAATTACATTTTCGGCTACTGCTCTGCAAAAGAGAACTGTATGTTCTGAAGCAACAGTTCCCCTGATGCAGTCGAAACGACGGTGCACTGAGTAGAAAATGAGTCACCAAGACTATACGGAACAATTCGTTGTCCTTGCAGCCCAAGAAAGATTCCATCTTTGCATGTTATGCCAGAACAATGCTCGATGTGAGCACTCACTTCCATGGCGATTGTTGCTGCTAGCTTCGCTGCGTGTTGATAGACCCGACATCTATTACCACGTGATAAAAAATAAGCAGGCGATACCCAGAAGCCATCAACAGAGAACGCTAAAACTTACCTGATCTTGCTTGTTTGAGCAGCTTCATTTTCTCTTTGCACAACAAGTACTACGCTGGATACGTGCAATGAAATCTGAAGGTGTCTTGAGTCTACAATCCTGTCACCCTCCAAGATAGAAGCAACAGACAGCATGCGTTCTTGGTTTGTATTGACTCGATACACGTAAGACTCCGATGAGTATCCTTTGTCCCAATGAAGTGCAAACGCTGTTAATGCCTTGGTTTGCGTGACTGCAACAGCAATACGATTGACATCAAGATACCCGAAAGGCTTGCTTTCCGTCTTGCTCAACACAGCTAGTCGGCGGCTGTCCAACGCTTTTCCATTAATCTTCACATTGCCCGTCAGATTCACCACACTTGCGTCGGAGCCAATATTTACTGTCGGGCTGTCCACACCGATGGATACAACCTTTGCTTGGGAACCGACGTCTACGTTTGCTTCTAATGCACCGATTGTAATATCGCTCGTCAATTTGCCACCAATGTCAATCTTGATACATTGTATAGCAAGAGAGGCACCCTTCATCGTAGTTGCTCCTGTACGAAACAATCATGGGTCCATTAGCATTTTGTCGTTTCCCAAATTTAACCAATGCCGCAGCACATACCATCCACCGATACTGCTGCGCTCTGAATGCTCACATTGCCGACGTCTTCACTACCAATGGTAATCTCATTTGCTTCATCTCCGACAGTTAGCGTATCTGCCGAATCTACGACAATAGACTTACCCCTCACTGCGATTTTAGATGCTGTACAACGTTTAGCACCAAGAGCACAACAGTGAGAACTCAGTTTATCAATTCAGTCATAAATCTCAGCATGTCCCAACCTTTAGAGCCGATTGTAATACTGGAGCTGAACAAATTCAGTTTGCTTCCAGTAGGCGGAAGCGCGGTAGCTTTGGCACTACGTCCACCAATTGTGACGTGTGTTGCCTCGATAGTAGCGACACTTGTCTTTCCGTCGGCACCCACCCAAAACTTCGTCGGATTCGCGCTGACAACTGAATCCGTGATAGACAACAGGGATCTTGTGGTGGAGCTGCCGTTGAAATGCACCAGTCCTGAAATGGTAGTGGTAGCTTCACGGTTGACCGTATTTATAGTGAGTCTTTGCGAAGCATCCAGCTGAATCGCCGATGACTTCACATATATTATCTGCCCCGATGTCTTATTGCCACCAACAACAATTGACAAAGCACTCTCACCTAGAGCAACACTTTTTGTCGCATCAAAAATGGCGCTAGCTCCCTGCACTTTGATTGTTGACAAACCTGCTTTTCCCACTTGAACTGACGGTGAGGAAGAACCCAAACGAACATCATTTGAATTGACATGAAGCTCTGACAAGCTAATCGCTCGGTTATCAAGTGTGATCCACTGCGACGAAACATTAAACCGACCGCCTCCCACCTTGACCTGCGTGGTATCATTCATACTAAACTTGTGATTGAACGACACAAGACCGTGAATCTTAACCTCGTGGGTCGAGCCATGGCTTCCAATCTCTGTAAGCGATGAGCCTGTCTGATGCAGCCCAGCGTTAATAGAGATAGATCCATACTCCGATCCTGATTCAGTTGCTTGGCCTCCGACCAGTGTCACGTCACCACCGACATTCAGTCCGTCGCCACCCATGATGCGTACGTCTCCGCCTTCCTTCTGCACCAACGATGTTTGCCCAGCTACTTCCAGTGTCACACTCTTGCTTTCTTCGGCATCATTGGCTGATTCTAACGCTCGTGCGTCATCATCTTCATCACTGCCATTCTCAATAACACCAGGAACCGAGATTTGTACTTTTCTGCTTGCCGAAGTGCCTACCAAAACCGAACTCGATTCCAGGTGAAGCGCCTGAGGTGTAGACAAAGTTGACCTGTTATGATCGTGCTTTATTAGAAAGCCATTGCCGATGCTGATTTCTTCTTGTGTGCCATCCAGTGTTATACCGTTTAGTATAGGCTCATCAGACTTCGTGTTGGCCACCGTCACCGTTCCGACTGGATCGACGATGAGCAGCGAGTTGCCACCAGCGCTTGCGACCACAGATCCAGTTTTTGACACAAGATTCAAGTCTCCCTGCTCTTTTGCTCTACCAGAATTATTAAAAGCTGTGGTCATCACCGTCCCATCATCAAATATTACTCCTTTTCTGGCTCTTAAATAGTCAGCTTCAATCATGGGAGCTGCCGGCCACAAAAAGCAGCAACATCGTGAGTCATCGCGCATCGAAACAAATGTATCTCTTGCTTTACTTACACTCCACGCTGTTGGTAAACGACGCCGTGCCATTACCAAAGAACGAGACGCCATAAAAGCTCTGTGTCTCACCAGATTTCAACGAACGTTGTCCTATCCTCAGTTTCCCGTCCCCAAAAGCCATCAAACTTTCTGAAAATACCGTATTCGAATATCCTACATAGTAAAAAGATTTTATATCAGTGGTCTGCCAACTATCATCCATCTACTAAACCACGCACCGCTCTTAAGAAAGATCTCTGCATCATCCTGAGCTACCACTGTGAACCGATTATCCACCGTCGTCCCAAATAGCTCACTCTGATGTGACTCAAATAAATCCGTCTGCGTCAAGTAAATGGTAACGCAGCACATGAGCCCAAAACTCAGCAGCGTGAGCACTCCAATGGCCGTCCAGAACACATCCTGGTCGTTTCGTTTACGTCTACGCAATGTGATTCTCTGCAAAATTCCACTGCTTGATCGGTAGCGAAAGCTACGCGAATCTGCATCCGATTGAAAAAAACCTGGACGATTTCGTAGTCTACGCAGTCTTTGGACGCCAACACCAGCCATACGTCTGGCTAAGTCTCCATCGTCCTGATCGTCCAGCATCAGATGATCCTGATGCAAGTCTTCACCTGGTGATTCCATAGGAACTGCTTGATGACCACGACGATACGCGTGTCCTTCTTTTTCTATACCATTTTCCTCGTCTTTTTCGTGTTCCTGGTCTTTGTCATCGTTTTCTTTGTGTGTCACGTGATGATCTTCGTCGTCCGATCCATCGAGAGTAAGTGCACAATGTTTTGGACCTTTTAGAGCCACAGAATCACTACTTTTTACGTCAATCACGTTGTGATCTAAGGAAGACGAGGCGGCCGTCGACATTTAAAGCGTCGAACGTTTTCAATACGTTAAAAAAAGATGAAGGTTGTTAGAAAGTAACGAGTGGGAGGAGATGTACCTTCAAGAAACACATTTCGATGCATAGTAAACGGCCGAAAACTTCCGGAAGAGCAGCGAACGGCCAAGGAAGCAGCAGTGGGGGAGATACTGGATTAAATGCGGCTATTGAGCGCTTGTAATTGAGTTGGTTAAGACGACGGGAATTTACTGCTTTGGCGACAATGTCACACTTGTAGATCTGTATCTGCAGCCACAACTTTACAATGCCAAACGATTTGGGTGTGGACATAGCCAAGTACCCGACCATTGCTCGTATTTCTGCAGGACTGAAAGCCGTGATAGCATTTAAGAAGGTGCATTCGTTACAACAACCTGATGCAGTTGTTTAAGTTGCTTTGGCAACTGCCGACACGGTTTCTAACGAGAGAAGCGTTGCATTATCTATTGAGTTTACTTGATGGAACGCAGTTTCGTCTTTACTGCTTTTAGATGCCTCTTAACAATGCGAACTTGTTGCTTGTCCACTTGGCTTTGTGACTTTTCTATCGCAAGTGCAGTGTCCATCTCTTTCTTTAGCTTCGTGTACTGCTCCTGTGATAAATTGTCACCGAAAGGAGAGCTCAGCAACAAGTCGGTGTCAACACTGCTCCGAAGGGCACGTAATGCATTTGCAAAGTCGTGAATGCAACGCTGGCGTCGGTAATTGAACCACGGCTCAAAATGAGCAGATTTGACAAAAGCTGTGTACAGAGCCTTCCACTTGGTTTTTTTGATCTGCGGAGGTAGCTTCCGTGGCTCGATGCTTGCAAGTAACTCCGTCAGTGTGAATGGTTTCATGTAGTCCTCAGCACTCATGTACAAATTTGATCGTCTTCCGCTTGGTTTCCAAATACCGAAATATTGTTCAAATGGATGTAAGAAATCTTTTGTGAGCTTTCGAAAGTGCTGCACACGGATCAAAGGATTCTTAAGTTAGCACGCCAGATTCCGTCTTGCAAACTACCTGTTTTCTACCTTTCGAAGAACGGCATTGTTGATTGCGATGCATGGTTTCTCATCATGGTTGGTGGTCTGGATGATGTGAGGCTTTGTAGGAGGAACAAGCTGGTGAAGAAGAGCAACGTCTCGGACCATGTAGCGAGGACAACGCCTCAAAAGCTAGAGTTGCAAACAATTCCATCATCAGATTCGTCAAACTAAACAGAGGAAATTTGTCGCTTACCATGGGACGAAAGCTGTTTTCAAAATCGTCTAGGTCTACGCTCTTTTGAATACGGAGACTAATGCTGCCAGGTTCATCTGCCTCCGAAGCATCTTGAGCTCTACCGGCGCCTATACGTTTACGAATATATCTTGATTAAACATATACCAAAATGAGAATGAATAAACCCGTCTGGACCTTTTTCGAGTTGTGCTTTCGCGTTCGGATGCTCCAGAAACGGAAAGACTAAAGCGTTTGGCCAATGTTTTAGCGTCTGTGCAACAGATTCAAGCATATGTAAGTTTCCATTGCCGCAACGGCAGCGAGTGAGTTTACATACCTTCATAAAGAAAGGGTTTGTGGTTCCGATAACAGTCACGTCATTCGGGTTGCTAACGCCTTTATTTTGCTTACTGGAAAGCGTCTACATATTGTCAACACAGTATGTTAGAATACTAATAAGAAATGCAGCGTTCCCGTGAGCTAGCTTACATCAAAATCTGCTTCGTAGACTGTAAAGTATGGTCGACAGTCGCCATGGAACTGGAGTGGTGCAATTAGACTGGTATCAAACCCTGGTCAAAAGAGCATTATATACACTAGTAGAAAAGAGATGGAGCCAAACCTAGTAAACGCAAGCACGGCTTGACTGCATGTTCTGGCGTGTGGAGATAGGATGAGAACGCTCTCTCCAGTAATTGCGAGCTGCCACAAAAGCCACAGCGATTCTTCAAAACCCATAAAGCTCGAATATAGTCCGATATTCTGTGAGTTGGAGACAAATAGCAAAGTTTCAGACACAACGACATTATTTGCGCTGATACGAAACATCTACGCGTACCTCGAATGGAGTCGATTGGTGTGTCCGTTTCAAGAGCAAAAGATCTCCAAATGATGGTGACGGTGGGTGTTGCCTTCGTGACACCACAAAGTTTTCTCCTTTCATCAGCACCGCCTCCTCGGAATCGTCCCCTACTTTTTCGTCATTTTCTTCTTCTACATCATCGAAGTCGGGAACGTCTGTGGCTTCGTCGTCTTCTTCGATGATATAATGCAAGTGAAGAGGTGAGTGCGTTTTCGTCTCGTACGTGGACTCCAAGTTTTCATAATCCAGCAGCTTCGGGATGATACACGAAATGTAAGTGCCAGCTAGTGGCAGCACCACGGGTGAATTGTACACAAGCTCCGGCCTAAAGAGCACCGCAACTATCATTGTTCAGCATCAAATGCTTGTAGTTTGATCTTGCTACTAACAAAATGTACACTTCATACCACGACTTGACGTTGTTATACACTGCAGCTAAAACCTGCGGTCCAGCCTTGAAAAAAAGTGGGCCAATCACCCTCAGCACACGGTCATACAAGTCCACATAGGGCTTTGTAGTCACTAACACTAGAGCTTTTTGAAAGTATCCACGAGTACGAGACTCGTCCTTTTGCTGACGGAATAGCACAAAGCCGAAATGAAGCTCGCGGCTGTTGCAAGACAAACTCACAGCCCTAGTTAGCAGACAAGTTGTAACTGGAAAACAACGAGCAGTTCGAGTCATTTAACTAACTCGTCAGCACGATCACGGAATCGAACAATAAACTGCGTGTCTCCTTCGTCCTGATTGTTGCAATGAGGTAGCGATAAGTGCGTCAGACTTGTCTTGGCAGCCTCCGAGATACCGCAAGTCGATGGATACAACGCATCCAGTTTCTGTCCCGAGTCGATGTCAAACACAACGGTCGCTAATGCTCGTAAACCGTAGGTAGAGAGTAGCTCTTGGCCGTCGGCAGGGCCAAGGACTTTCGTGTCCATCGTGTCGAATATGCGTTCGTACGGTAAAATTATCGGCTTTATTGGTGTGTATAAGTGGGTCATGGAAGCCGGAAATTGGGTAGAATCAAAGGTTCTGCGAACATGCCAATCTTTGCGTAGAGTCGGTGCAGAGTCAGATACAGAGATCTACTTCGACTGGTGAACATATTTTGTCCAATCGTAGTCCAAGCTTGTTTTAGTCGCAATCGCAGTCCGATTTATAATTAAAACAAATCACTTAATTTGAGTGATAAGAAGACGCAGTCTTAGTGCCGCTTCGCTCATGTGACGCAGCTCCAGGATATCTCCAATGCATTAACTGCAGTGCTTATTGTCCACTAAGAATCTGTCCAGCAACTTCGACATTTGAGACGCGCGATATCTGGACAGAGGCTTCTTCGTGGCCGTAAGCGGTTGGGTCAAGTCTCTGCGCAAGTACATGTCCGTGAGCTTCATGAACATCAAGCGGCTCGTGTCTGACGTTTCTACAGATTACGCTGTTAGCCCAGAAGCCTGAAAATTGACGCTGCCGAACGGACTCTTGGGGCCAAACTCAGTAATTAGAGTCGGATCCAGTATCTTTGTGAAGGAAAAAGTACGAGAAGTGTCTGGAGGCATTCATAGACGACGGGAGCTGCTGTCGAGCAAGATGGAGGTATTCGGCAAATATGACACGCAGACATATCTGTTATCACTCACTTGAGTTCCAACGTGCGAATCTGCATGTGTGGGCTTGCGCCAACACGAGCAGGGCCGTCATACGCGTGTGCAATGCTCTTGGGTAATCCGGCGTTGGTGGGCTGAAAAAGTATTTGGTAATTGGGGCTGTATATCTGATGTGGCTTGGTGGTATACAAGGAGTGCACGCGTACTATCAGAATAATGACTATCTGCACCTGCACAGCCCCATTCTGACCTCGAAAGAACGACTGCGGTGGAGCCGGTGAGATGTTTTGTATCGCCAAGATAAGTTTGTTCAATGATTTGTTAATGGTGACAATGCACATGTAGTGTGTGTGATCCCTTTGCATGATAGGTGGAAAACCTATCATGAAAAGATGATGAGTTTCTTTGAAACACCGACGTGTTTAACGGTGTCAGGCCAGTTACATGGCGAGATGTATGCTTGTAGCAAGGCATGTACGTTTGGGCCGACATTTCGCGCTGAGAACACGTCATTTGACAAAATTTGGATACGGAAGCTATTGCAATCCTCCACAGAGCGATGTCAGAGGGTAGAGGCAAAGTGAATTTTAGAAGAAACCCGAGTGGGGAATGTATTTGCAAACAGAGCACGATCGTTTTTTTGCTAAGAAGTAGTACGTTGACGGACCGGTTTTCGTAACAGACTATCCAGCGAATATCAAATCAATTTACATGTGCAAAAAAGACTATTCGACGAGGCTTGACAACTGCACAAAGAGAAAAGTACATGTTTATTGTGCACACTTAGTTGTTGATTTTCATTTTGCACATGTCTTGTTTGTAAGTGTTTTTGTACATGGACGACGGTTGATCTTGTCATCCTGTGTGATTGCCGCCGGTTTATTTGCCAGAGTAATTCATCTTCATTCGACTCTTACGTGCGGCTCCACCCTAAAACATATACATGTATCACCAGGTAGTGAGTATCAGCTCGGATATTCATCTCTTCACCTCGAGCCAGCTCCACTGTTGCACTTTGGTTTTGTCTTCGCTACTGGAACGGTTGACCATACTAGCACTCCATTCACGTTTTTCTCGGATTACTGTGGAAACAACTTGCTTAAAAGGTCACGATTCATCTCGAAAAGCTTGTTCTTGTCTTCAAGTAGCACCGCATTTTCCTGCTGAAGCACCTTCCGTTCGCCCTGCAATGTGTTTATCTCGTGCTGTTTAGAGTCCAGCAGGTTCCTCAAAGCCTCATTCTCTTCTGCAACAAACTTCAGCTGAGCTTGCAGGCGGTTGGTAAATAGACTGTTCCCGAGCAAATAGTTATGCAGTGAAGTCAAACTCTCATTCCGTCCGTCAACTTGTTCATGTCTCGAGCCCACTTCACCAGATGATGTCCGCGACTTCTTGATGCGTAAAAGGATGTTAACCGGATCGCTGAATGAGTTTGACAACACCTGGCTCTGGTCCGAATTTAATTCTGTTCGAGAGGTCGGTGCCATGGTCAAAGACTGTGTCGAAAGCTCGGAAAGATTCTCCATTGTAGGCACGACCATGCCCTGAGGCCCATTAGGTGCTGAGAACCCAGAAAAACTGCTGTATTCGTACTGCTGCTCCGGTCCACCAGCCTGCTGTCGCTGGATTAGGCGACTTCGCACGATGTTCAGGGTGGGTAACGCCGCAGAAGTGGGTGCAGTAATAGACGCGTACCCAATGTCGGAGCTAGTGCGACTGCTGCTGCTGAGTGAAGCATTGTTGCTGTCAGCTGGCACCGACGACGACGACATGAACCCTTCTACACCAATTGAGGGCACAGCTGACCCATTGAGCGGTGATGTTAGTTGGGCGTGCATTGTCGCGCTTGCTGGACAATTCTTCTTGTCATGCTTTTTTGCTTTCTTCTTGCATTCAGTGGCCGCTACAGGCGAAATAACATTGTTCAGGTCCAGCAGATAGTGGCGAGTCGATCCATCTTGCGAGAAACCCAAAGCTGCGTGGGAGGAAGCACTGTGCGGCGTGGTCATGGCGCTGAGCGGTATCCCTTTAGTGGCAGGCTGGATTTGAACAGCAGACGTGTTCATCATCTGAATACGCATGCCCGTGCTTTCGGTGGAACAGTCTTCCGAGTTACTGCTATCCGATGAAAGCTTCCACTTCCCGCAAGGTGACAGTTTCTTAGACGTCGAACTCGCAGCAGACGCTGTGGGTGTACTCGAGGCTGAGCTGTTAGCTCCACTGGCAGGTGTTCGTCGAGGAGCTTTTTTCCGTTTGATGAGAAGCAGCAGCTTTGGCTGATTTTCTCGGAAGAAAGGGTGACTAAAAGTACAGATATCCGTTTTCGACTTGGTCCATTTCCGAAAGCCAAAGTAATTGAGCTGCCGCTGGAAGCTATGAAAGTTGGTGTGGTTAAAGTACTTTGGCAAGATCTGTTCCGTGACAGTGAGGGGATCCAGGATCTGCAGTGCCAGGCCGTCTTCAGACCACCGGATTACACGGGAGCTCTCCACTTCCAAAATCTCGTACAGCAGTAGCAGAAACTTTGGCGCTTCCGGCTTGGCACGCTTTCCGCCTTCCTTGATCGTGGACAGTTTCCACTCGTTCTGCTGCGGCAGCAGGTGCATCGTTTTGTGTGCCCTCTCAACTTGGCGAGACTTGGAAACTCTACGCTGGTTGGCGCTATCTGTACTTTGAAAGGCGTCCACTTGTGGCTCCTGCTTTATATCGATATGGTGCGTAATAGAGTCCATGAAGAGAGCTTTTCCCGTCGCCATCGACTGATATTCCGAGTTCTTGAAGTTTCTCTCGTTAGCAAATGAGCGTGTGGTGGCACTAGGAGAAAAAAAGAAGCTTCAGTCTCTTTTGCAGCCACAACGTCTGATTCTATGGGAGCTCCAATCGATCTTCCACAAAAATCGAAAGAAAAATGGCGACAAGCAACACCGTCTGCAGTCTTAAACAGCGTCTGCTACTGTAGATCTTTTACTTCTCTTGACCCTTGGTGTACGTACGTGCGTCCGGAAAGCCTCGATTCAATCAGTTACGGCGCTGACGGATGTCGTGTAAATAATTGCGGGGGTTTCGGCGAATCTTAGTGAGTGGGCTACCACTCACTCGCCTTCGAGCTCTTGGTTTCCTTTTATTTTTTGCTTCTCTTTTTCATTGCGGATTCGATGGGAAGATTTCCATGAATTTGACTACACAATATCGGCCAATTGGGATGGAGAAAATACGAATCTGTGATAATGCATTGGTAGAAAGTCGATTTGCGGTGCATTCTGCGACTGTTCCTCTTTTTTCGCGGGATGTGACGCTGAGTTCGAAAATCCGCGACACCTGATTGGCTACACCTGATCGGCGTGTATCTTCAATTGAGCTGGTCGTGAGAACTACATTTGAAAGCGAATATTTCCGAAACAAAAGTACTTTTCGATTCCTTTTTTGCTTTTTTTTATTTTATAAAAAGAGTAGCTTACAAAACGCTTTTTTTGGTTTTAACTCCTGCGTTTAAAATTTAGTATGTTAATAAATGTAGCAGAGCTACGCATGTCTTAAGGTCAGAGGAAGACTTTAAAGGCTAAAAGCCTCTTAGTTCTAAAGAACTAAGTAAGTTGATGGCTAAAAGCCACTTAGTTGTATGTAACTAATGAAATGACTACGAAGTCTACCCGTTTTACGAAAATGGGAGAGACTTCTTTAGTCTACAAGCCTATGCTCACAAGCTTAATAAGCTAATGGTGCAAGGAATCAAACGTACCGGTGCACTAGCAAACAAGTCGTATAAAGATTTTGCTTCTATAACTCAAAAAGAGAGCTAATTTTTATTTATGCAATAAGATGTCGAATTTTTAATTACCCTAAGTTACCATGGACTAGATTAATTATTATATCAGTAATTATAATATGCAGACTTTGTTATTGGACGATGTATCGTCTAAACATTGGTGCATAATGTACTCAGTACAGCGATATCGATCATTGAATCTTAGTCGATCCGGTATTATCGAATACCGTATCTTGACGCCCATACTTAATACTCTCGTAACAAGAATACATTATGCAAAACTCATAGAATTACAAACATGACATAATTCTGAATATAACTATTCAACCGTCTTGTAACCCCGCTACACTCTTCCCCGCATGACTAAGGTTACCACATAACGTCATTCGTCACATACCTCAAAGAGGTTGAGTAACTCAAACATCAAACCTAACGATTGTTCATGGTGCACGCTTATATGACGCCCCCTCTCAAAAACTCTTCGTGATCTCGTTGAGGTAGATCTAGAAGTAGAGGTGGATTACGGAAGTGACACCAGCTTCCTTAAAGTCTTCGAGTCTAAATCTTGTCCTTAGAATGAAGACGAGTCTAAACTCCGCCCTAATGGTGAAGACGAACCTCGACACACGCCTAATCCGTTCCCTTATCGTAGTGCTGCGAATACTCTTACAGCGTTGCGTTATACGCCTGACGCAACGTCAGCCACAATAGTAACAAATCCGCTCAATGAGCAGCAACAACGAACTATTGCTCAAGAGGAGGGAGTCAAGCGCTGGTCGAAGAATATGGCCACACTCCGAACGCATGATTACAATCACCATCCGAAGAAAATCGCCTTAAAGAGGAAGGTGGTCAAGCGATAGCGTTGTGGACTATAAGTCCTGAGGCAATTATACTTGAGAATTTTGCTGCGCGCGCGGCGCCCAACAAGCAATATTTGGAGCCAAGTATATGTCGCAAAGCCAGTATAAGCGCGACTGGCGAAACAAGCACGATGTGCCTCTGTTCCAGCCATGAGAGGTGTGCCCATCCTTCACTTTGAAGGGGAGATAGAATGTGAAGAAGACAAATCCTTTATTTGATGGGTGCCTTGCACACGACGATTCAGCGCCAGATGAAGAAAAGTGTCTTGTTTTTGGAGGTTTGCTGACTGGACTATCACAGAACTGGTACCGTTTGGGGTTCCCCCCTGGTGCCTTGGGTAAGCATCGGCCTGTGTCGTAAGTGGCGCAGGCTCAAATCCCCCTTCGACCAACCCAAGGTCTCAAAACAATGTGGCACACACTTCTCTCACTGGTACCCCCCGGGAACCCTGGTACCAGTGAATACGGCCTCTCGTAGAAGCATGAAACCCCAATACAGAATAATTGGGGCTATCCGAACTGGTTGGCACCCAGAACATCCGATTAAAACAAACCGCCCGTCCATGGCACGATAGCCATGACCGGTTAGAGAATTAATGAGCCCTGCCGAAGAGGACAAGTATCAGGCCGCTAGAGAAATCTAAATGTGCCGGCTGGCCTATATAACAAAAAAATAAAGAAGTGGTACCGTCATTTGGGTCTATCGGTCCGAGGGAATTGGAAAGACCTAATGCAAGAATTCATGATTCGTTTCTGTGGGGGACCTGTTGCCCGCCAATATTACTTGCGAAGAAAAGGTCGGAGGAGAACCCGCTGGATTATCTGTACCGCCTGAATGTGATTGGCTCAGATTTTGTTTGGATTAAACAAGCTTCGTCAGAAGGCACCCGCTACCCCAGCTAGAACGAAAGAGATGAACCGCCGCTCCATACATGCAGCTCGGGCGTCCCTTGAAGACTCCAACCGAGAATCTTCGGAGAGCGAAAAAGATCTAAGGCGGGTCTACCTTATGGAGAAGTAAGTAGGGAAAGACCCAGTCGTGAGGTCTCAAAGATTGTTCCGACCAGAGAGGTCGAGCGCAAGAAACATGTAGATTTGAATTGTTGGAAGCGATTGACCTGCGGCCGTTGTGGAAGAAAGGGCCACCCGTCTAATCGCTGCCTGTTTGTATGCCGAGGTTGTGGAGAGATTCATGAGATTGGGAAGTGCCAGATGGAGGAGTTCTACAATTTGTTCCCTCAATGGTATAACCCGGCCAAGCATGCAGGAATGTTTCCGAAGAAACTCGAGAAGATGGCAAATTAGGACGCTCGCCAGGTTGGAATCTGGTACGAGCCGAGCGTTCTAATTGTTGCATCTTTGCATATGTGGAAAAACAGCCCAAGGAGGAGACGGGCATTCCAGTTAAGATTGGAAATATATCGAAGATTGGAAATTACCCTGTGGTCCATGTTGCTTCTTTGAATAAGCCTAACAATTTTGCTCGAGAAAATTCAGTATAATGGAGTTGGACTTATTGCCAGGCAAGTCTAGGGGGTACTGGAAATACCACGCCCCTACTAAATGGTTCAGGCAAGCCATAGCCTTTGGGAGGGTCAGCAATGACCATGCAAATATGTTGTTCGATACTGGTGCCGAGATATCCATCCTGGATATCGCCTTTGCTCGTAAGGTAGGTTGCCAAATTGATGAAAGTGAAAGACAAGAACGCATTGGTATTGTAACGGGGATAGAACGTACCGTCACTAGCTTACACGTGCGCTTGAGGAAGACTCAAGCCCGAGTATTAGGTATTAAGTAAATTTAACTCTGATTTTTATTTTGGTTTTAATTCGTACTAATTACGAAGATTTTAGTCGTAATAAATACGACAGTGTTCCCGCCTTTCGGGAACCACACAATTTCAGGTTGATTTATCATTGGTCCATATTGGGGACTTTAGGCCCAATAATAAACCAATAATAAATTACCACGCTGTG